ATAAATCTTACTGAGGTAATAAGCTTTAGCTCCTTTTCTTTTTCACAAGCCGTTTTTCCCCCTTGCCTCTAACCATCCTGTAAAGATATACATATGCCAAAAAACCTTAAGCTATTGTTGGAAACCAAATTGGGGATTGTCATATCTGCACTACTTTCCACAGCTGTGGACTGAAACCAAAACAATACTTCAAAATATTCATTCTTTTAATCTCATTTTAAAAGGTATCATATTTTCCAAGTCCTTATTTATATTTGTGAATATGTGTGTGAGAGAGAAATTGCCATGTCTATTGCTGTCTCTTAAAATGATTTCATGCATTGGTAAAATGGGGTTTTTTAAGTGGTCAAAGTATATTTAAAACTCTTCTGTTTGAGGCAGTGTCAGATGTAAATGCCTTATTCTCAAATGTGTAAATAATGTATATATGGAACATCAGAGGTTAACTTATTCTTTGGACTTTAATGTATTCATAACTTACCACTCCCATTCCTAGCTCCACCCCTTGTATATATAAGGAGCCACCCTCACCATTCTCGTCGCTTCTACCTTGAATATTCAGTGAATATAGAATGCCTATCATAATTAAAAAGAAATATATTTAAAGTTTTAACTTCTATTATCTTTATTGAGTCTGATCCTGAAAATATTGCAACAGGCAGGCATGGGATCTGTGGAGTGATGGGCATACCTACACAAATATAATTCTGAATTATAAACTGAAAGTAAATTTAAACCCAAGCATGCATAGATTTAAAGCAAAAAGTAAAATGAAATTGAATTTAGATCAGTAGTGAAGATATAGAAATAATGTACTGTAAGAAATGTTTTTGTCTCACTGCCTATAATAACCTGAAAATTATTATTTTTCTCCTAGGAGTTTATGAGTTGGTGACTTATCGGCTGAAACCAGGTGGACCAGCTTTATGGGGAAATTCATTCAAAGCAGCTATTGATGCACATGTTAGTAAAGGCTATGCAAAACTGATTGGCTTTTTCCACACAGAATATGGATTTCTTAATACAGGTACAGGCTCGTGATTTTTCATATTTCAAATACAAAATCATGCTCCAATATATATATATTTACATTCCTATGATTTATAACTTCACACATGCTCAGATATCTGTTCACTATAGCCTAGGAACAAAAAAAAGGTATCAGATAGGTCCAGATTTCATCATATTTAAAAGAAAAAACTTTTGGAACATTATTTTTGTTTTGCCCTTTAAACAAGTTCTATTCATAGCAAATGGCAATGCATCAGTTATATCATTGTACTACTGAAATCAGGATCCACACTTCTAGCATCCTAAGAATATTGTCTAAATATTTGGAGAAAAATCTAGTAGTACAGCTGCCTTACCGTGAGCCAGACTGTTGATTCATCTATTTCCTGTCTACGCTAATTTTTTTTTTTTTTAATTTGATTTATATGCCGCCCTTCTCTGGAGACTCGGGGCATTTTACAGTGGGTTAAGCAATAGCCTTCATACTTTTGTATATTTTATACAAAGTCAGTTTATTGCCCCCACAAACTGGGTCCTCAATTTACCTACCTTAGAAAGGATGGAAGGCTGAGTCAACTTTGAGCCTGGCAAGATTCGAACTTACTTTAATTGCAGACAGCTGGTGTTAAATTACAGTGCTTTTAGTCTGCAGAGCTATTCAGGCTCTAATTGGCAATAGCTTTCTGGTTTTGGAAAAAGTTTACCCACTTTTTGGGGGGAAAGGCCTAGACTATACCTGAAATTTTAGAACACAGAACATGGGATAGTTATTTAACCCTGGAACAGGGGTGGCCATCTTTGCAACTTTACGATTAGTGAACTTCAGTTCCCAGAATTCCCATCAGCCATGCTGACAGGGGAATTCTGGGAGTTGGAAGTCTTAAAGTTGCCAAGGTTGGACATCCCTGTTCTAGAACACCATCATGCCTCTATATCGTATCTGATATACTTAAGTTTTCCGTAGCTCTGTGACTAGCTTGGTCTTTTATAGAATTCTACAGAGGTCTCAGGGGCAGAAAACTGTTTGTGGACAATGGAACTTGAATGTCATAATTATCTGATAGATGTGTATGCACACCTTGTGCTAGTACTGTGTTCTTGCTTTTACTTTCACAGTTCATGTGCTTTGGTGGTTTGAGAATCCAGATATCAGGGCAGCTGGGAGGCATATAGCCCATGAAGATGCCAGAGTGGTAGCAGCTGGTAAGATATTACTGTGTATCTTGGAATGTCTATCAATGCTTTTTTATAAGTTTGAAAGAGTGTATTTTAATTCTTATTTTCAGTTCGGGGAAATATTCAGTTCTTGGAAACCCAGAAAAACATGCTCCTGATTCCTGCATCGTTTTCACCTTTGAAATAGTTTTATTCCAGTTGAATGACATCACATAAAAAAAATATTTTCTGCAATCCTCATCTGTATCCATAAAGGCAGATTGAGGGTAGTTTTGAATAATATCATTATTTGTGGAAAGTCATGTTATCTTCTCAAATACTGTACTTTTCTAATCAACTGCATAAAAATAGATTCAAATTATATGAGTAAATAAGGACTTAGTACAGAATATCTGTACTGAAATGTTTAGACCCGAGAATAAAAAAATGGGGGATATGTCTAAAATAATAATTTCATTCTGGTGTTACACACATATTTAAATATTTTAACTTATAAATAAAATGAAAAGCTAATTATAAAATATAATAACCTAAAAAATGTAAAGTTGATGTCATAATGTTATTTAGTCAGGAAAGTCTCATGATTAATGTATAGATTGCAGTGAGATCAAAAGAATGAAGTTGCACTTATTACAGCTGAAATGTATTTATTTATTCTTGAATATTTGGTGATGGATTTGAACTTTTTATGGTATTCATCATTGCATTATGATTGAGATTGTTAAATGCGAAATTAAATAGATTTTCTGGATTGTGTGTATGCAATTCTATCATTTCCTATCCTGCCCCTTGGCAATTCCACTCATTCTGTTTATGTTAAGTATCTCTGCAGGCTTCTTAAATGGCAGATTATAGATTCCATATTCTATGCTTTGAAATTCTAAAGGGTATGATGTTCTTCAATCTAAAAAAATCATGAACACATTGCAGAATTTTGAAATATTACACATTTTCACAATTACATAAAATATTTTACATTCAATTTTTTAAAATACATCCCAGAACTAATTCTAATTCTTATATATTTGGTTGAAAATTGGACTTGGCTTGATTCTTCCAGTCATCTTTACTACCGTGTGTACTTTTGTGAGAATAAACATGCATGGCACTTTTATCTAAATTGATATGTCAGTCTGGATTACACACCTGCTTTACATATTAGAAATAACACTCCATAAACTTGAGAAAGGGCTACAACTGAAGCCGCTTTATTTTCATTCACCTTCCTCTTAATGTTTTAATTCAATCAGTCTTTGATTCTGCTGCTCCATAAATTTGAAAACATAAAGCGAAGGCATGTGAGAATCATGACTTTTAATTCTGCATGTGATGTGCTCCTGGTTCTGTTCAGATGAGTTGGACAATTCCAATTCCTCCAAATTTGAAGTCCACCACATCTGAAGGACATCCAGTACGAGAAGGCTGCCAGACCTAAATAAAGCATGTCACTCTTTGAAGCCATTTGTTTCATTTTTCCTTAGCCTGAATGTGTAAACACAGGGTGATTTGCTACCTGCTGCTGTGTAGGTGAGCCGAAATAAAGATAACTCCTTAAATGTGGATTCACCTTTTCATAATTTTATCTTTATACTGTAAGGTCTCAGTCATACAGTCATACAATCAACCAGTGTCTGGTTTGGTTCTGCAACCCAACAAGACAGACACAGACTTCAGAGGACAATTAGAACTGCAGAAAAAACAATTGCTACCAACCTGCCTTCCATTGAGGACCTGTATACTGCACGAGTCAAAAAGAGGGCTGTGAAAATATTTACAGACCCCTCACAACCTGGACATAAACTGTTTCAACTCTTACCGTCAAAATGACACTATAGAGCATTGCACACCAAAACAACTAGACACAAGAACAGTTTTTCCCCCCAAACGCCATCACTCTGCTAAACAAATAATTCCCTCAACACTGTCAAACTATTTACTAAATCTGCACTACTATTAATCTTCTCATTGTTCCCATCACCCATCTCCTTCCACTTATGATTGTATGACTGTAACTTTGTTGCTGGTATCTTTACAATTTATACTGATATTCTTTCCTGATTGCTTATTTGTATCCTATGACTATCATTAAGTGTGGTATGTTATGATTCTTGATGAACGTATCTTTTATGTATTCCGAGAGCGTATGCACCAAGACAAATTCCTTGTGTGTCCAATCACACTTGGCCAATAAAAAATTCTATTCTATCCTATTCTAAAAAAAAACCTCGTCTCCTCCCCTCCCCCCACGCAATCGTAAAATCCCAGTTTTTAGTTCAGTATCAGAGAACACACACTACAGTACGGTATTCACAAAACAGACATTTCTACCACTCTGTGTGATAGCTCTCCCAGAAGCTCCAGGGGAGAAATTTTAATTGAGGATCTATACAGAATAATGAATAAATAAAGCTCAGTTCCTGAAATAATTCTGGAACTGAGAAGCCAGAAATCCCACTGAGAACTCCCACTTCCCTCACGTGTAATATTTCTATCACTTCGCAAAACAATCCTTCGCTCAAGCGTGTCCCCTGGAGTTTCGCGGGAAAACGTTTGGACTAGTATTAAATTCAAGAAACTCCCAAGAGCGGCTGGATTTGCAATCTATCGGCTCCAGCAATCCCGGCCAAGGATCAAGGATGCCCAGAGTTGTAATTTAACCCACATCTCAGATCCAGAAGTAGGACTTCCGCTTCCAGCCGGGGGAGATAGTAGCTTCCACTCATCCCTCACGTATCGTAGTGGTAAAGGGCTGGGAAGAGGCAGAGCGGTTTCACTGCGCTTGGTGAGGAGGCGGCCATGACGTTCCCCTCGGCCAATGCTTCGCCTCGATGCAGCGGCGGCGGGCGGGCCAGATCCCAGTAGGAAGTGGCCGTTCCCCGCCCTTCGCTGGGCTACGTGCCTTGGCTGTTGATGTTGCAGCGCTGCTACCTTGGCGGGCTCCGGCCGATCAGACCATGCAGGGGCCCCGGGCTCTCCTCAGAGGAGTCGCGGCAGCGGCGCGAGCGGTCGGTGCCCAGGTAAAAGGAGGGAAGGAAGGAAGGGAGACGCTTGGCGTGGAGGACAGAGTTCCCGTCTGCCGCGCAGAACTAGTGGGGGCAGGCAGACGTCCAACAGGTGGGGCCGGCCCTGCAAGAGATGCTCGGCATGGCTGCAGCTGTTGCTGCTGTTTAATCTTTGCCCGCACGGCAGAGAAAAGGAGCGGCGAGGAGAGGACAAAGGAGCCGAGGAAGCTATATAGTATCAGTATAGTAGCATAGTATAGCCTTTATTGTCATTGTACATCACGTATACAACGAAATTGGTTTTAGCTGTCACTGGTGCAATCCATGACAAAAAATACAAACAACATAAAGAGTATAAAGACTAATCCCTATGCAAGTAATGAAAGGGGAAAAAGAAAACGAAAGAAAAAGAAAAACTAGTGGGTGTGCAGAAGGAGGAAACAAGACCGCTGGAAGGAAATTTCTATTGGATGCAAAAAGGACTTGATCCCCGAATCAGATTTGGATTTGAGTTTGGGTTTGGGTTGGAAAAAAGGTTTTGAAGAAAGAAAGAGGATCAAAGCTTCTCTGTCTTGACTTGGCTTTTCTAGTGTTTGAAACAAAGTGCTAGCAGTTAAGGGAGCAAAACAAAACGGGAGAAAAGAGTATTTTCCCACAAACTCTCAAATTAGAAGCAAGACATGCATCCCTTCCTATTCTCATTAGTTGCCTGTCCAGAGATGTGGTTGTCGTCCATTCTACCATTTTCCTCTTTACAGATAGTCCTTGAAACTTACCACTCACAACTAAGCCCAAAATTTATGTTGCTAAGTGAGACATTTGTTTTTTTTTAAACTTTTATTAATTTAAGAAATCACATAATACATTTACAAATGCAAGTAAAACAATTTACAACAAGCATCATATTAATGACATCTATCTATAATATCTGAATTGTTACAATATCAATATCCTATATTCTTCAATATACAATATTTCTCTCACCTTATATAATGATATTATTTTATTGATATCGCGTGTCTCTTTCTTAAATTTCATTTGATGTAAAAATTTATTTTACTCTATTGATATCTTTTCTTTTATTTAATTTTTCTTTCTTTCTTCTTCTCTTTTTTTTTTTCCACTTCCCTCTAACCATTTATACCATTTTTGCCAGACCAGATAATATTCAGATTCTTCCTTTCCTTGGATCTCTTTGGTAAGTCTATCCATCTCAGCGCATTCCATAATTTTGGATATTAATTTCTCTTGAGTCAGGACCTCTTCTTGTTTCCAATTTTGCGCATATATAATTCTTGCTGCAGTCAAAATGTGTGTTATTAAATATATTATTTCTTTTTCATATTTGTTTGTAGGTATTCCTAATAAGTAAGTTTCTGGTTTTAATGGCATCTTTTGAGTTATTATTTGTTCCAGTTGCATTTTTATATTGTTCCAGAATTTTTTAGCTTTGGGACATGACCACCATATATGATAATATGTCTCTTTATGCACTTTACATTTCCAACAGAGTGGAGACATTTGTCAAGTGAGTTTTGCCCCATTTTACAACCTTTCTTGGCACAGTTGCTAAGTGAATCATGTGGTTCGGCAGTTCAATCCTCACTGGCTCAAGGTTGACTTGGCCTCCCATCCTTCAGAGGTGGGTAAAATGAGGACCCAGATTGTTGGGGGCAATAGGCTGACTCTGTAAACCGCTTAGAGAGGGCTGTAAACACTGTGAAGAAGCATATATAAGTCTTAAGTGCTATTGCTATCACAAGTTAGTAACATGGTTGTAAAGTGAATCTGGCTTCCCCACTGAATTTGCTTCTCAAAAGGTCACAGAAGGTGATCACATGATCTTGGGACACTGCAACTCATAAATACGAATTAATTGCCAAGCATCCGAATTTTGATTATGTGACTGGGGATGATGCAACAGTTGTAAAGTATGAAAAATGAAAGTGAATAAATCACTTTCAGTCCCATTCTATCTTTGAACGGTCACTAAACGAACTGTTGTAAGTCGAGGACTACCTATATCCATTCTAAGCCTTCATCTCCCATGTACTCAGAAATACAGGTTTGGGTTGATGATTAGGAGATCACTTTTAAACTAACAAAAGTGATGGGGAAACTATAGAAACTCCTTCCATGTGTTTAGAATAGGCCAGATGCAGATCAGAGGATGGGAATCCTTTACTTACGCAAGACAGCAGCTACACTTGCTAAATCCACTCTTCTTTAAAACTATTAAATATGGAGCCTTAAATATTTTTTAACATTTTCTGTGTTGGTGTCCACAGAATCCTTATTTGTGAAGTAATTAATATCAATGCACACTACATTTTTTTTTTAATTTTGATTTATATGCCGCCCTTCTCCGAAGACTCAGGGCGGCTTACAATGTGCTCAGCAATAGCCTTCATCCTTTTGTATATTTATACAAAGTCAGCTTATTGCCCCCACAAACTGGGTCCTCATTTCACCTACCTTAGAAAGGATGGAAGGCTAAGTCAACCTTGAGCCTTGGCGAGATTCGAACCCTGCAGTAATTGCAGGCAGCTGGTCTTAATAAGCTTAATAACAGGGTGCCTTAAACCCCTGTAGTACCAAGGCTCTTGATATTTATTTGATTTTTTAAATCTGCCTATTGCTTTATAAGTAATTCAAGGCAGCAAACATATAACATACTCCTTCCTTCTCTTATTTTTACCACCACAACAAGCCTGTGAGGTGGATTGGAGTGACAGGGAGTCAGCCAGCCAGCTTTCATGCCTAAAGCAGACTTTCTGGTTCTAACAGGAGGGCCACTCAATCTGTGGCCCTCAAGTATCAATCAAGTATAAATCAAGATAACCACTAGATGGCAGCAAGAGATAAAGTCAAGATTCAAGTTTATCTCTTTTCTGCCATCTAGTGATCATTTCAAATGTTGCAGTCCAAATTCAGTATCCCATCTATTGCTCCTTTTGCTCAGAAGGCTCTATATATCTCCTGTAATATTCAGTTGCCAGCAACTTTTAAGAAGACAAATTACAACAATAAAGCTAAAGGGAAATAATTTGATTAAAATGTTTTCGTTTGTTAAAGAACACCGTTTACATACTTGAAACTCAAAAGTAATTAGTGAATAATCTAGGTTCCACTTTTGTATACATTTTTATTTTATCTAGTAACTTGCTGAAATTAATATTATATCATTCTCATTTTTTGTTTTAGTTTTTTTCCTATCTTTAGTTAGATCAGGTAGAGCAATCAGTGCTTTGCATTGAGTGATTGTTAGTGCAATACTACCAGCTTGAACAGAGACAAGATAAATGTTTAGAGAGTAAAGATGACCTTATTGCCCCATAGATTTTATTTAATTGCAAAATAAATCCAGTTTAGTAATATCAGTGCAGTGGCCTCGCTGGAGTTTGTATAGCAATGATGCCTTTAAGATTAGAAGGGGCCAAAGTTCAGCTCTAAAATTACAGGCTTGTACAAAGTCCTGTAGAACCACGGTTTGCTGAAATCATTGGCAGGGTTTGTAATTGTGGGAAGCCATGGTTGATCAACGACAGTGGCATTTTTTCACTCATTGCAGCAATAAAAATGGAACATATTGCATTTTGGCCCAGTGCAGTGTTTGAATCCAGTGAGATGTATAAGAACAGAGCACATTTGTACAAAAATCGAAATTAATAAATTTAGCTTTTTATTGAGGTGTCAAAAATCAAGGCTGACATTGGTAACCAGGGAATAAAATCGTCTAAGAACCTATTAATAAAAAACACCATAAACTTGTCTAATACAGCAATTTGTGTTACCCAACAGCCATTCAGATTGTTACAAGAATGTATAAATGCACAAGAGTCTCTTCCTCATCTTCTGTTACTCAGTATCCTACTTGTATTCAGCATATAACCATTAATACTACTGTCCATTGATGATACTAAAGTCTGTGAATGTTGGTTTCCTTTTAAACCATTTTCAACCATTCATTGGTGATTATTGCCACATCTGATGAATGTGATTTTCATAGTTTAGCTCACGGGTGTAAAATTCAATCCGGCCCGTGGGATGGTTAGATCTGGCCTATAGGGCCAGTCTGGAAACAGCAAAGAACCGGCCTATGGTGCCTCTGCTAGCAAAAATGGAGTGCAAAGGGGTCACCTGCGGCCCCACTGCACCCTGTTTCTGGCTGCGACAGAATCCTGCAGCTCTCTGCCAGCAAAATAATATGTTTCCCCCTTTGCATTTGAGGATGCAAGAAGGGACAGGAAAGGAAAAAGGAAAAAGGGAGAAGAAAGACACAGAAAAAGAAAAAGAAGGAAAGATGGGAAGAGAACAAGGAAGGAAAAATAAAGAAAGCAGGAGAAAGGAATAAGGAAGAAGAAAGGAAAAAGAAGAGGAAGGAAGGAAGGAAGGAGGGAAGGAGATTATAATGAGAGTGAGGGAGGGTCTCAGGGAAGTCCTTCCTTAGCAGTTGGCCACCATAGGTGCCCCCGACACAAGTGATGCTGAGATGGCCACACCCAACATGGCCCTATGAGGTCAAACACAACCCTGATGCGGCTCTCAATTAAATCGAGTTTGACACCCCTGGTTTAGCTGATTCTTTTGTATAAAAAAACCTAAATGTATCTTCAGTTGGGAATTCTGGCCACTATTACTATAGTAGTAATCCAGCTTTCCCTAGTCTTCCCTAGTCTTTTGCCTCAAAATGGGCTTAATTTCAGATTCTATATTTTGTGGCACCAGATTAGAGAAGTGTGATAGTCCTTCTGTTACGTTTTCGCATCACATTGCAAAGGTGAAAGAAAATGATATTGTGGGTTATTTGCATTCATTTGTATTTATTTGAATAAATAAGTAATTTATCACTATTGCCCATCAACATTTATGTATGTTTCTTTTGTTTATTTTTAGGCTTCATCTTTTGCCACAGGGCCAAGACAGGTGGATGGCACATTCTATGAGTTTCGTACTTACACAATTAAGCCAAACAAGATGAAAGATTTTCTGGACCTCACCACTAAAAACATTCACCTTCGCACACTTCATTCCCCAATGGTCGGATACTGGACTCTGGAATTTGGGGGACTGAATAAAGTTTTCCACATTTGGAAATATGGTACTGTATGCATAGTTTTATATTACATACATGTCAAATTTCTGTACTGCTCGTCATATTTCTATCCCTCTGAGTGGTTTATAAATAAAACACTAAAATCGTATTAAAAGTCATAGTTAAAAACAAAGTTAGAAAACAGAATTACAGAGTTAAAACGAACAATTGCAAAGTTAAAAGGCCTTCAACCTACCAACCGCCCCCGGGGTTGTATGACATCTTAGACTCCCGTGCCAGTTAGCAGAACCAGATGTGGAAGCTCTTTTGAAAGGCTAAGAGAGTGATTTGCCTCACCTCATTTAAGATGTTTCCATAGGTGTATTATAGTACTTATTATCTAATGGATTAAGTAATATTGTTATTCTGGGTTCCCATGGGATGTCTTCAGATTATTCAACCAGTATGAAAAGATTCACTGCAGAAACTCCTGTACCGCCAGTGCAGTTTAAATAAGAAGCCATAGAAACTGGTAAGGAACCAAACATCATCCCTCAAGAACCAAAATCTCACTTAACAACCACCAGTTCATGACTTGTTTAGTGTAATCCAAAAGGAAGTTGTTACTCACAATTTAGTTGCTTAAAAGTTGACAAAATGCTTTTCTGTCAGAGCGCGCATCTAAATTTGGAATCAATATGGCTTCAAAATTATGGGGAATGCTATAAGGCTCATTTGATTTTGCCTTCAAGTTCCATCAGCCCCTTCCTTGTTGGAACTTTGGTATTCTCTGATTCTGTGGGCGGCACAGACTGCTCTCTTACAACCCAAAATAGTAAATTCCCAAAAAAAAGAACATATCTCCTGTATTCTATTTTTTAGTCTAGGAAATGGTATTGGTTGTAGTCTGAAAATAAGAGTGAAAGATTATACATTCATTAAGATTGTGAATCTAATTTATTAACTAAGGAGTTACATTTTGATTAAGGGTGCGGAATCTGGGGGTACACATAATTCTAAAGAGGGAAAATAATCCCAATGCTCAGATTAATGTCAGGTTCTTGACTGTTCCACCTTTGCAGAAAGCAGGTATCTTCCAGATTTTCTTTAGCAAAATTTATTGAAATAGTCTAGGACAGTGTTTCTCAACCTTGGCAAATTTAAGCTGTGTGGACTTCAACTCCCAGAATTCCCCAGCCAGCCAGCTGACTAGGAAATTCTGGGAGTTGAAGTCCACACAGCTTAAACTTGCCAAGGTTGAGAAACACATGTTTAAGATAAGGTTACAGAGATTTCAGCAACTGCACTGAATTAAATATTTTTCTCAGATTTTAAGATGAAGACTTTCTCCATTTCTTATTCATGATTCCCAGGTGAATTGGTGAAGGAGCTGTTGTCTTAAATGATAAGGTAGGAATATCCAGCTGGTTAGAATCTGAATGGCTCCCTGGTTGTAAATATGAAGTAAAGGACACTGCCTATAACAAGGGTGTCAAATTTGCTGCGTCACGTTGCTGTCAAGTGACGTTTTGCGACATTTTTCCCCTTCGCGGAGCTGGAGTGGGCGTGGTCTGCACGTGACACATCCGGCCCGCAGGCCGCCAGTTTGACACCCCTGGCCTGTAATATTCTAAGTAGTATTTGAAATCAAGACTTTGAGTGGATAGGAAAGTTGAGTGGTATCTTAGGACCTTTATTAATTAGTCTTTTATTCAGTTTTTAGAATGCTTGATTGATTCAGCAGATCACAGTGCCCATCTAGGCCTTGCCTGGTCTGAGAGGCTAAGCAAAGGAAACCACTAGAGAGTTCCAGGGCAGTGGTAAGCTAGACTGGGAAGTTAAAAAACATAGAAGAAGCCAATGGCCAATATTTTGATTCTTCTGCAAAACAACAACAAATCCAACAGCAGCAACAACAGGAGGGTTTTATAGGAACACTGGAAGTCAAGCTTGCCTTAAAGAAGATGCATAGGCACAGTAGATCTCCCAGTGTCAAATACCCCAGCATTTTAATAGTCACAGTCAAACTGGTGAGATTGATTTAGAATATTTTTTTATAGTTTAATCAGAAACACAAGAATTTATCACAGGTACATTTTGTTTTCCTGTTTGACATATTTTTATTAGATTTTAAGGAAAGTATATAGAGAACCACAAAAGAGAGTCAAGAAGAACAGGAAAAAAAATAAAATAAAATACATATGACTAAACAAAGATTGTTAACATGCCAAGGACATCGTATACTAATATATTATTAGTTAGTTGTAAATAACTGAATATATTATGTTCCTTTAAAAAGTTAAAAAAACAATGTTAGGTTCTAAGCAAGAAAGAATGTAAAAAAACCAGAATAAATCTGTCATGGGAATATAACAAACAATGGCTTTAATAAAATCTGAAAACTAAAAAAAATGGCTGATTTGAGATGAACAAGAAGTAATGACTATGAAAGAGCAATAGGTTTGGCGTTCTGAAAAACACAAATAACAAATTAGATGGCTAAGTGCGGATATCTAACTTTACTATATCTTTCCTTGCTTATAGAGAGCTTTGCGCAAAGGGCTGCTGTCCGTACAGCATTAACCAAAGATCAAGAATGGCAAGAAAAATACATCTCACACATGCTGCCCTTGTTGGACAAACAAGAGAATGAGATTACTTACCTGGTCCCTTGGTGTGAATTTGGCAGCTCTGAAAAAGATGGTACATTGAATGTTGATGTAATTGAGACACTGGGTATTTTGGCATTTTTAAATCTGTAGACTGACTGGTTTTTTCGAGTGCAGTTCTGTCACGTAGTGAGTAAACTTTGTGCTTAAAGTCAATCACCCCATGGCTATTTAATTATAGTAATTGTTTGTGGTTCCTTTTGAAATCTTTAGAAGCCCAGCTACTGAAGGTGTGTGCTCACTACCATCACTGTTAATTATTGTGCAGCTTAAAATATAATTTCAGTTCATGAAGGAAAAATATGTATTTGCGCAAGTACGATGTATACAATACATAATCACACTTTAGAGCACCAACTCAGAAATCTCAGCAACTCTAGTCTGTGTGGGGAATTCTGGGGGTTGAAGTCCACACAGCTTAAAAGTTGTTGAGCAGCCTATAGAGATCCTCTGACAGGCATGTTAGAATTCCTAAGTGGCCAAATAGGAAGCTGAGCTGGAAAAACTAGCATTTCAAATGAAAAGTAATAATAGCACTTAAGTTTTCCATGCATTTCTGCCAACAATATTATTTTGTTGTTTAAATATATTTGATGTTTTCATAATTTTTCAACTGCCCCGTTTTAGCAAGGACTAGACATTTAAAAAAAATGAAAACTTCAAATATTCTCAGTACTGAATTCCATTCTTGTACAAAATCTGTATTCATTTCCAAAATATATGCATAATATATTGAGAGGGCATTACAAATTCTGAATCTTTTTCTTCCGGTGCTGCTGCTCCCAGGAGTCTGTGAGTTGGTCACCTTCCAGATGAAACCTGGTGGACCAGCAGTGTGGGGACAGTCCTTTAAAACTGCAATTAAAGCCCACATAAACAGTGGATATACTAAGTTGATTGGAGTCTTCCATACGGAATATGGACTACTCAACCGAGGTATGGTTGCTTATCAGATTTCAGTATAACATAGGATTGCTATCTTTTAGGCAAGAAGTAAGGAAACACAGCCTTCGGTTCAGGGTAACACATGGCAGATTTCATCTGGGCTTGAAGCTAAGCAAAATTTGATCCGATTCATACTTGGATCGGAGACTTGCCAGAGAATCTCAGGACTGGAGGTTAGTTTGGAAAATTGAAAGATACTTTAAAACGGGTGTCAAACTCGATTTCATTGAGAGCCACATCAGGGTTGTGTTTGACCTTGGGGAGGCGGGGAGTGGGCGTGGCCAGCTTGACATCGTGTCAAGGGCACCTGTGGTGGCCTGAGCACTCTGCCAGAGAAAACGGGCTCCTGAGTATGTTTTCAGCTGCGATGGCCTCTGGCAACCCTTTGCCAGGGAAAATGGAGCATGCGGCCCTCCCCAGCTCCATTTTCACTTGCAGAATCACCACAGGCCCATCCTTCTCTGTTTCCAGGGCAGCCCCCACGGGCCAGATCTAAGCACTCCGTGGGCCAGATCCGGCCCTCGAGCTTTGAGTTTGACACCCCTGCCTTAAAACTAGGCATAGTGTTGCAAAAATGTCTGGATGGATATGTTCAGAAAGCTGCCTGGAATCAGACTTGGCTCAGAGGAAAAGTTTACCTGTAAGGGAAATATTCTACAGATAGCCCTGGTTACTGACCACAATTGGGACTGGCAACTCCATTGCTAATCGCAACAGTCATGCGACGAAAAATTGGTGATGGTGCCGAAATCAGGCTAGTGTTTTTTACTCTTTCATAGAATAATCAGTTTCTTTGCCTCTTAAGAGAAATTCTGTTTTAGTCCATTCTTAGAATTTGAGCACTGACTGATAAAATGGTTAGGAATGAAGACAGAAGATGCAGGTTCTCTTATTTGATAAGAATAAGTTGACTCTGTTCATTGGTTTATCGCCATAAGTAATAATTATGCTTTAAACATTTGGTTACCTTTAATAATTTAATCTATTCAATTATTTAAGTATTTGATGTAATTAATAATTTAACTTCATTAATATTTAATTCAATTAACAGTTTAATCCCTTCAGTAATTTCATTATTGGATACCTGAGAACCATAATAATTAATGCTATTGCATATACCAGTATCCTATGCTTATAGTCATGTGTTTACCGTGACTATCAGTAGTGTGTGTGAATTGAAAGGATTTCTTTGATATACAATATCAGTGAGTATTATCCATAACAAGGGGTAGGCATGGCTTTCCGAATAAAGATTATTCATCAAAACCTATTTTAATAAACACATCGCCTATTTAATTCACACTGTTATTGAGTTGCAGTTTTCTGTCTTTATAGTTCATGTGCTTTGGTGGAATGAGAGTCCAGATAGTCGGGCAGCTGGAAGACATTATGCCCATGAGGATCCTCGATTAGTAGCAGCTGGTAAGTGAAAGATTTCTCCTTTTTTCCTTTTCCCTTTGGGATTCTTTCTTTGAAAAAAATATATTTACCACTATTAACCTTTTAATTGCCTGTGTGATTTACTTTTAGTTCGAGAAAGCGTTCAATTCCTGGAATCCCAGCAGAACAGCCTCCTGCTTCCTACAGTGTTTTCGCCGTTAAAATAAATATAGTGCTTAATGGGACAAAAATTATTTTTCATTGCACTGATAAGGGCATCTCGGGGTTTTAATAGTCCAGCTATATTTTTCCGTTTCTAAAATATGATAAAAATCTAATCTCTCTTTTGGTAGCAATCATATACCTATTTCCCTTGCTGGAAATGGGAAATTTAATCTCCGCCCAGTGAAATAACAATTCACTGAATTATGTCATGAAAACGAACTTCCATAAATTCTCCTTCCTTGTATAATTATAAACCTGTGAAAATAAGTCTGTAAAAGGCAAAAATGCAGTGCAGAGTGATTTAAGAAAAGCATATTTTTTTGTTAATTTTTCTGAACTACTGTACATATCGTGAAGGATCTTTTCTAAATGGCCTTCACTGCTCCAAAGTATTATTGTCAAGTTTTTTAATGTACATTTTGCTTCTCCTAAATCAAATGCTGCATTACTCTAAGGTAACATATATTTGCCTGCAATTCTAGCTAACATGGTCTGAATTTTATCATTTATGTTTGTTTACTTGTAGCTGTACTAGAACTGGACCAAAAATGCCTTTGCAGTGGAACTTTAGTTGAATGAAAAGTGTTCAATAAATCATGAACATGACCTTTTCTTTCATTTCTTTTTCTTTCTTCCTTTTTTTTTTTTTTTTGCTATAAATAACATGTATGTCAGTTTCAGGTCCCTACTAGATATTCTTTCCTTTTCAATCATGGAAAAATTGAAGTAAATTTAAAATACGTTTCAAGTAAATTTTTCCATGTATTCAGAGCTAGCTCTGGCATGTTCAAATGCAGAAATGGAATAAACTGATTTATTCTGAGAGAGTCACTCGCAGTGGCATATTATGTAGCATACACATTTTTGAAGCAATCATTCGAATTGCAGTGCCTGAAATGTAATTGTTGACATATTGAAACAATAAAATGGCTTTTTGAAATATATATATTTTGTGTTTCTATTTTAAATAACAGTTGTTCCAATTTTATGCATGACACCCGTATTAAAGTGTTCTTAAAATGAAAATCTAGGTGGTTAACTTTTTTCAAGTTAGTTGGTGTGGAATCAAATGCTTTTTCTAGTAGGATTCATTTCCTTCTACCACAGCCCAGAGAACTAGTGTGATGTAGGGTTAACAAGATCCAGGATCTAGTTTTCCCTTAAGGCACAGAAGCCAGCTGGATGGCCTTGGCCAGTCACGCTCTTTCAACCCTAATTAGGGACAGGCTGTATGATAAGCCAGCTGGTAAGCAAAACCCTTGTTGCATCATGCATTGATAACTTTGCTGCAGAGATGGGATTTATTTATTTACCTTCCCTACCGGTTCACAAATGTGAGCACGCACTTGCCACCTCTGTTGTCATGCATTATGTCCGGGGGGGTGGGCGGAGCCTCCCACAGTAGCTGCTACTGGTTCGCATGATCCGGATAGAACCGGCTGAATCCCACCACTGCTTTGCTGGGAGATCAAGGTGTGGACAGTGGAAAAACAGGCACATCCTACACAAGTGTGACAAACATAAAGAAGAATTCTTTTTCCAGCACAGCGCATCGCACCCAGGATAGTAAATCCACTTTTATACCACACAAAAATCCACTCATTGGGGCTGTTCAAAGCATTAAAGCAGACAAGGGTTTATCTTTGGGGGGAGGGGAAGGCTTGCTTTGCAGGGTGTTCCTGGCTCTGAGTGTATATGTACACAATGTTACTTTGCTTTATTGGCATGCGTATTTTAACTAAGGTATGCAATGGCTCAGTGGCTAAGAAGCGGAGCTTGTCGATCGAAAGGTCGGCAGCTCAGCGGTTCGAATCCCTTGTGCCGTGTAAGGGGGTGAGCTCCCGTTACTTGTCCCAGCTTCTGCCGACCTAGCAGTTCGAAAGCACGTAAAAAATGCAAGTAGAAAAATAGGGACCACCTTTGGTGGGAAGGGAACAGCGTTCCATGCATCTTTGGCATTTAGTCATGCCGGCCACATGACCATGGAGACGTCTTCGGACAGTGATGGCTCTTCGGCTTTGAAACGGAGATGAGCACCGCCCCCTAGAGCCGGGAACAACTAGCAAATATGTGCGAGGGGAACCTTTACCATTATTTTATTTTAACTAAATTCTTTCCCACAATAAACTAGGCCATCAGAGGGAAAATTTAATGTCCTATTGAGTGTCGTGCTTTACTGCAAGCAGGTATTTATTTTAGATGTTACAGGATTGAAACAATTTACCGTATTTAAAAGATATTGCTTCTTTCATCTTTCAGTATTGAAACTGGAATTCATTACATAGTGCCTTCCTTTGTTATGACTATGTAATAGGAAGTCTATGGTTAACAAAACTGAGGTTTCCTGAACTTGAAAGGGCAAGTATGGCAGAGATATATTCCAAGAAACTCAGATGGAAAACAACCAGCCAACTAGACACAAAGAAAATACTTGATGCTATTAAACAAGGAATCGTTTTGCCAAAGGAAAGTGGGGAGACCTCCAAGAAGCCATGAATAAAAAAATGTGGAAGGGAGGGAAGAGAAAAGCAGCAGGGGCCAAATGAATGAATTATAACATCTGGGACTACACAGTGCCTCTACAATCCCATAGAATTTTTGGACTTTAGCAAAGAGATCAGAACCAACTATTTATGTCCCACGTGGCATCAGTGTCATATTTTCGTGGTCTCCAGAACCCTCTTTGATCCCAGCTATTGAAGATAAAACAACAATTTCCCACAGTTATGAGATGGAGCATCACCAGATGAAGAGTTAATTTATGCCCTAAAATTGACATACCACAACCGAGCCTCATAGCCACCACAACTTAACAACAATAATTTTTGAGCTCAGTTACAGTCCTAAATCCAGGACTAGCTGTAAAACCAATAATCTGAACCATACTCAGAAAATGTTTCATTTAGTATTATACAGATCTCTTCAGGTTAAAATGTAATTGCTTCTTCATGAATATCTTTGTTCTTAAGTTGAAATTCAGTTAATCAGTGGGCTTCATTTTTTAATAAAACATACACTGCATTTTCTAATTCTGCATTAGCCAGCTACTATACATCTACAATACTTTGTTATTGAGAAATAGAGAACCATAGCATTTCCTACTTACAATTTTGACGTTAACATAAATCTCACAAACGCTTAATGATTTGTAGACCAGCAACACTTTTATTCTTTACTTGATACAAGGCAATTAACAGATGCCTATTAATATTTCACAAATAGTTATTAGCAATACAAATATATATTTGTTTTTCCATGAAAATGTCCATTGAAAGATTTTTAACTTAAAAGATTGTTTTTGCGTATATGTGAAACTATTGTTTTGCAAAGTTTATAAGATATTCCAGTGCAAAAATAGATCCCATTACAGCCAGCATAAAGTGCTTGGAATGAAGGACCAATCATATTAGAGAAGGGAGGGGATTGGAACAGAATTGGGAGGAAAAGCTCAGTAATAGGGACTTACTATACATATTAACTTCTGTAAGAAATATATTCATATGAAACTATCTTTACAGTATCACAAATACTGCAGAAGGATAACAGCAATTTTAATCACATAACATGAAGTAAATATTCTTGCTCAGTTCCTTGACCAGTGGTTTTATATCATACTACAGAGAGCAGTTAGGGGTGTCAACTCAAGGCCCGTGGGCTGGATCCGGCCTGCAGGGTGCTTAGATCTGGCGCCAGGCTCCATTTTCACTGGCAGAGGGCTGCAGGAGGGCAGTCGCAACCAAAAATGGAGCCCAGGAGGGCCACATGTGGGCTGCAGGATGTCGAGCTGGCCATGCCTACTCCAACCACACCCACCCAGCCCTCCCCCCCCCCCGTGGTCAAACATAACCCTGATGCAGCCCTCAATGAAACTGAATTTGACACTCCTAAATTAGGATAATTTTGGCTAACATCTGATACAAAGGAAAATTTGTATGCAGTGATTTACTAGTATTTTGTGGTAAAACAAACCTATCCTGCATCTCCATTCTTAGCAAGAAGCACTTCTAGAAATCATTATTTCTAATGAAACAGATCAGTAAGGATTTCAATGCTCTCCACTGAAAGCAACGGGAATATGCAATTATTCCTGTACTGAAGTCCCATTGTGATCAGTAGAGCTAACTGCCAGGTCACCCTGCATAGGATTTCAGCCTTACATTGCAAATTTACACAGCCGTCATTTAACTCTAAGCCAGTTATTTTGAGTTACTGTTGTGTCAAGGGATTGTACAGTTAATGTTTACCTCCGTTTGAATTGTGTTAAATTTGCAAATGTGTTTTAAAATTATACTAAAATAGAGCATTTATATTTGTAGAAAAAATAGCTACTTATATGGAGAGAGACAGAGAGAGAAAAAAAGAGAGAAACTAAATTGCAGGTCATTGAAAGTTGGGTGCAAAAAAGAGTGCACAGGATTCAGATTGATGTCCTGCAGACTTCAAAAGGACTTAGTGCAACTAATCATTTCAGAATTTTACCTGGCTTGGGACATGTCTGAAATATTAGTATATGCCAGCCGTGATGAGCACAAGTATTGGTTTGTTATCCAGTATTACAAAAAGATGTTTGTAGCCATTTTGCTTCTCCTAGCTTTTTATTTAAAGATACTATCTGGGCTGACTGGGAAAAAAAAGCTTCCATATAAATTTCCTAATAAACAGTTGCTGAAAAATGGACCATATTTTTTAAAATATATATATATATATTAGTTGCTTGTCATCCACATATCCAACTTTTAATGCCTACCTTCAATCCCTATCTGGAGTAGGAGATCAGTGTATGTGCCACATAAAAGCTATAGAGTAAGAGAAATGGAAAGACTATGGAAACTCAAGTCTTCAAGACCCTAGCTTTTTTTTTTCTGGACGGCTTTCTCCAACCACAACCCTGAAACATGATCTCTGCTACGCAAAGTAGGAGAGCCCCATTGTATGATTTAAAATTATATGAAAACCAGGACAGATGTGATGATATAACTGAAGATTTTCAACATTGATGGAAATAATGCTATATGCATTTAGATATTTTGTGGTAGGCAGGAAAACAGATACCCTAGTATGGGTGATAATAGAGAGTTCTTCAGAGACTGCTGAGTCTCTACTACAGATAGTACTTTTATAAGGAAATAGACATATCAACAATCAAGCTTAAGTAAAGAAACTTAAAAACAGCAACAGTTCCACAACAAAAGCAAAGAGGGGAAAAACAAGCAATTGGTCACCATACTATTAGGACAGAAATTACCTCAGATGCTTTGATTGTTAATCGTTGATTCTCCTACAAGCCATTAAGAAACATTGAATTCAATGTAGCCTATTTTGACGGTGTGCTTCATGGCCCACTACTAAGACCCCTAATGGTTCTCATACGTGTCCCCTCAAACATGTATGGGTCAACCAGGCCAATAGCTAATACTTAAATAAGGCCACAATATCGCACTGGGTGTGACTGCTGGCCACTGGTTCTGTTGATGCATTCATTGCCAGCAATGATGTAGTGCCCAAGCAGTTCCTTTCCCTGTGCGGAGGGGTTGTGCCAACTTAGCATGGTGAATAAATAAATCACTGGCCACAAATCTCTGAACTGTTGTTAACGTAATTCTTAACACAAAACATACTAAGTAGAAACAACTGGGAGTATGGCAGAAGACAATGTAGCAGCAAGTGGCACCATATTAGAGTTTCACAGAATTATAATGTAAGAATAGCTAAGTTCAAGTCTTTCACTAGAGAACAGTACAACAAGGCAACATCTCCCAGAGGCCCTGCCTCTGTAATGGAATATTGTTTTGTTTGCATTGAATTGCATTGCATTGAATGATTACCAGTAGAACGTTCCATTTATAATTTCCATCTCCACTTCCTCGGCCTCGATCTGTTTCCACTTGGGAAGATCCCATCCATAGTACAGAAAGGATGAACGTTTTCCCCTTCTGCTTCTGCTCAGTGCGACTATTGCGTCCTTCTGAGAAAGGTTATTCATACGCAGCTTTCCTTCACCTTCTCATCTTGCAAAAAGGAAGTCAAAACAGCTACATCTACCACAGTCTGGTTTTTGTGCAACGACAAGTCTTTTGTGTGGTCATCATCACTTTGGTCCTTGGCGAAGTTTACAAATACCTGAGAGAACACAAAAGTGGGCATCAATAATGAGCTCATCACAGGGAGATGTTGATTCCTCTTTGTCATCTATTGTGACGGGAATGAATATCAACCAACAGAGAAAGAACCAAGGTACCGTGTTTCCCCCCAAATAATATTGTCTTATATTTTTTTTAACCCCGAAATAAAATAAGGCTTGGCCTTATTTTTGGGGAGGTTTTATTATTTTGGGGTGCATGGAGCAAGATGGGGCTCCTCTTGCCATCTTGCCTGATTTCCAGCTTTGCGTTTAAATGTTTTTGGGAAGGGCTTATTTTCGGGGAGAGGCTTATTTTAGCGCATGTGCTCTAAAGCCCGATTGGGCTTATTTTCAGGGGATGTCTTATTTTCAGGGAAACAGGGTAGTAACTGAAGTGTGAAAGAGAATAAACTACAGCTCAGGATGACGATCGAGGAGCGAGATCTTAAGACTTGTTCTTTTCCCATCCTCCCCAAATTTCATGCTATCAACTTACTTGGTCAAGTGTGGTCTGGGAAACGGAGTAGTCTTCTATGTGGAATCGCTTTTTGTTCTGGGAGAGGATGCTAAATATCCTAGCCAGGGATGATGGGGAGGATGGGAGCTGATATTGCAGCATGTTGCGATGCTTCTCCTTCAGCATGCTTCCTGGAAAAGCGAGCTTGAAGAAGTTCTCAACAGGGGTTAGGTCGGGGTTCGCCCCTGCTATTCGTACAATTATTGTGTAGCCATCTCCAAACCTAAAACATAAGGAAAGCAGGGACACTCAGCATGGTTATCCTAAGTTTAGAAAAGGACATCATAGCTGTAATGTCTTCTGGCTTTCTCACAGGTCATTTATGATCGTGGAAAAACCCACCATTGATTTCAAAAGTGCACATAATCATAGTCCTGGAGATTAATGAGAAAAGCCTCAACATGCTCATTGATCCATGATAAATCAAATTTGGACAACCATTTTTCTTTGATGAGGATCTAATATATATGATTACAGCTTCATGTACTTTCAAGTATTCATTAATTATTTTTGGCATGAATGCCAAAGTGTCCACGCAACTTACAACTAAACATAAAAAGGAAAAGCAATGTAAACAACAAGGTCCTGGTGTGCCTTTATTTGGACAGCACAAGAAAATGATGTATCTGTGATTTTGAAATAAATTTTCAGAATAAGCTTATTTCATTTTCACTGATTTATGAATGATCCAGAAAACATTAAGCTTACAAGTCTTTATGTCCTACTTTACGTCCTTACAGGGAATTCTATGCCAGGAACGAGTTGTTATTTATTTTATAGTTAACGCATTAATAAACAAAAAGGACAGCAATGCAAGTATCTGTATATGATCAGCTAACACCTGATTAGATTTATTAGGCATGTGCTTAGATATTATAATCTTAAGTATTCTTCTTCAATGGAAGTTAAATGATGGAATAGTGGATAATGTTTCTTAACTTTCTGACATCCTTTCAATTCCCTTATATTACCAGGAAGATAGGTAAAATGTAATATTAAACTTGCCCTTTTTTCACATTGTCTTCCTTAAGTGTAAATGTGAGTAAATTCAACCAATAAATTAGCGAATTGGAAAACTGGGCAGTTGCCTGAAAAGAATTATTTTCTCTGACTACGGGACCTAAGATAAAAAGTAATGGGTATAAATTGCAGCTGCCTAAATTTTGCTTAAATAAGGAAGGGAATAAGGAAAAATTTCTGCTCATAAGATATGTATGTACATAAACAGAACAGTCTATCTGCAGTCTATCTTAAGGACATATCTGAAGGTTTTTAAAAAGCCATTTCAGGCTTTTAAGAAGAGTCTGGATAACCCTACTCATAAATGTTTTAACTGTGTGTTTTTTTCTGCATATTGCAGAAGACTAGATAATCACGGTCCTTCCAAATCCTATGAAATAAATCTAATGCTGACTTCATTCAGAAAGTCTATAGAGATTCTCAGTCATCCAAGTCATGGTTGTCCCAAAGGTGCTTTTTTCAGGACTTTCTTGTTTTTTCTTTGAAGATGTTTTGCTTCTCATCCAAGAAGCTTCTTCAGCTCTGACAGGATAGTGGGGCATGGAAGGATTTATATTCCTTGAAGACAGCTGGTCATTTGCATCCTTTCAACGACCCTCTAAAAGGGTCCATGCAAATGTCCAGCTGTCTGCAAGGAATACAAATCCTTCCATTCCCCATTATCCTGTCAGAGCTGAAGAAGCTTCTTGGATGAGAAGGGAAACATCTTCAAAAAAAACCCCAAGAAAGTCCAGTTGCCTCCTGAAAAAGCACTTTTGGGACTTCATGCAAAGGTGGTGTTTTTGTTGTTGTTGTTATTGTTGAAGTCATTATAAAAACCTTACCATGCGCTATCCATCTTTCAAAACCGAAATGCATATATTTGCATAAAAACAGGAGGGACTAAGCAGTTTTACCTGTTCTTCAAGTGTTGGACACTGCCAAGGCACCTGAACCGTCCATTCACCATGATTGCCATTCGAGTGCAGAGGGCCTCACATTCTTCCATGCTATTTGGGGAAGAAAACCAGATTCATTATACACATTCATTATACATTATAAATATTCAGCTTTTTTTTTAAAGGATGTATTTATTATAACAATTAAAGGAAAAGAATAAATAATTACATAAAAGGAAAAAGAAATGTAAAGAGACACTGTAGATAACAAATAAAAAGGGGAAATAGTTTAGAATTATCAGAATTTAAAATTCATTATTTCAATCATTCATTAATAAAACTAAGTTCATTATGTTATCTTGAAAAATAACTAGAAATGTATACAAAATTGCTCTTGTTTGTCATTGTTCCAAACATAGATGCTATAATCACATAAAGGTAAAGGAAAACAAAACAGAAAACAGAAAAAGTAACAATGAAAAAGGAGAAAAATCAGTAAAAATGATTAAACAACATCGTTTAAAATACTCTCCAGTTGTACGCAACTCCTAATTATATCAATCTATTTATAAACTTTGGAATTACTTTTTACTGTCTTCATGCTGTTTATTTCCCCTTTAACAATCATACATATTTAGTAATTTTTGGAAATCACATATGCTTTAATTCCCCATGAAACAGGTAGCTCTGGATATGTAGGGTTTTGGAATCCTACAAATGTAGGATTTGTAGGATTCCAAAATGTGGAAGGGGAACCTTTACCTTTAAGATATTAAAATATCTTCTTGTAAGTGAGAGAATCAGCCCTTTCCCACTGTTAGCTATTCTAGCAGGGACCTATATCATAAGGATCCAAGCTTTTTCATGGAGAAAAACCTTCCCTTTTCCCCCCCAAGTGCTTTCCTTGGTCTCACACACACACACACACACACACACACACACACACACACACAAAAGCTTAGATCCATAAGAAGCATACTGTGTATGTAGTAACAAGGGCCATAAGAAAGAGATAGCTGTGGAGGTGAATATACTGCCTTCTGCTGGTCTAAGAAAGCCACGCTACCTAAAATAAAATAAAAATTCAGAAAGTGCATCTTCTGCTTTATTACTAAGTGGTCATATGTAAAAGAAGAAAAGATTATTAGCCTATTCTGCCCTACTTTTTTTTTATGTTTACTCGGGTAGATGCATCTGTTGTGCCATTCATCTTTTGTGCATTTTCCTCCTGGCAAAATTTACATCAGGAACATTCTGTTATGTTTCTAACAGATGTCACAATTGAAGGGAGCGTAAATGGGCTCTAAGTTGAAAATCATGCAAAACAGTTTTTGTACGCCGTTATCACTTACCTATGCGATGTGAGGACCACGGACCTTCCTTCTTTGATGATGCTCAAGGCACAGTTCCAAAGGAAGCGGCGGGCCTTGGGATCCATTCCTGTAGTTGGCTCGTCCTTCAATTGACACAGATTAAATGCATTGGTTTCACCATTAGTGCCATAGTAGAGTTCTTATTGTCAACCAGGTTTAACCACAGAAGAAAAGGGCTTAATATTTCAATCATACTGTACATTTCCTGGAATAAGGTGCTAAATGAAATTAGGGGGAAAACTGGACTATTAGTAAATCTGAGTGCAATTGGCACTTGAATTTTTTTCTCATTTAAAAAAAAATTACTCTGCAAATAGTGTGGTAGGGAGATAGAAGCTGCCTCTTTTATTTGCCAACATGCAGAAGGAGATATTATAGTCCATAAAGCACTGCTAAATGACTGTCATATAACCACAGACTGTATGACTCACAATGAGGGACAAGAGTTGTTAACCAAACTCTGGAGTGCCAATGATTCTAGAAATAGAATATTGAAATATTGAAAAAATGAACTTTATCAACTACTGTATCTCAATTGAACTATGAGATATCATATCAATTTTAATGAGCTAAATTGGTAGTGAATTGTATTTATTCTTATGGCATGTGTCAAGTGCCAAGATAACATTATGATTTGATTCCAAGAGGTAAAGGGGGTGCAATTCATAATCTGCTTCTGACAGCAAAGTAGTTTTGGTTGACATTCTTTATGGTATCTTCCTAGTTTTAATGAGATGGGTTACTATAGGGATCATGTCTATACTTACCAGGAAGACCACAGGAGGCCCCCCAATTAGGGCCATTGCAGTAGACAGCTTGCGCTTGTTCCCACCACTGTAGGTGCCGGCATATCTTTCAGCATATTTTACAAGGCCTAGCTTACGGACAGCCCATTCACCAACCTGCCAGATGAGAAAGCAACATGAGAACTGAAATACGGTCTCCGTAATTTAGAACAGAGGATACTTTAACTCCTGTTCGTTAATCTGCTATCTATTAAGACTGGGCAGTACTTTCCCTTTCAAAGTAAAAATGCTGTTGTGAATATGGAGGTTGCTCACATTGTGTCTGCCTGCAATTCTTTAAAGTAGCTGCATCTTTCCTAAATCTCATGGCTTCCCTTTGAAGCTGCTGTGTGGGAAAAGAAGCATCAGGTTGAAAGGGTTGTAGACAATGCAATGTGCATATCCCTGTGTGTTTCAAATCCCCTTTCTGTCTTTGAATCCGCATAGGCTTATTATACTGTATATCCTAAGTCAATGTAGTATGGTCCATACCCACAAACAGACAATATATATATATATTTTTTTAATTTGATTTATATGCCGCCCTTCTCCGGAGACTCAGGGCGGCTTACAATGCGCTAAGCAATAGCCTTCATACTTTTGTATATTTATACAAAGTCAGCTTATTGCCCCCACAAACTGGGTCCTCATTTAACCTACCTTAGAAAGGATGGAAGGCTGAGTCAACCTTGAGCTATTGAAAACCCAAATATTGAAGAACATTTGGGTTTTCTGAGGGTTCATGGTGGGTTACAGAGGCATAAGAAAGTTAAAAATAATTTTAACAAATTAGATTCAATTTCCCTTTCCTGAGAATGGAAAATACAAGAAGCAATCTAAGAAAGACCTTTCCTTCCTTCCTTCCTTCCTTCCTTCCTTCCTTCCTTCCTTCCTTCCTTCCTTCCTTCCTTCCTTCTTTCCTTCCCTTTCCTTCCTCATCTCAACAAATGACTCTGGAGGGCACACATGCAATTAATAAAATGAAAACAAAAAACAGGACTGTGAAGCAATCAGAAGTTCCCCTGCAGAAAGGGAACTTAAATCCCCATAGACAAGATTGTAAAATACCCCACATTTAGGAAGGAATTTAGCTTGGAAATGATATAGGGTGGGCTACAAATGAATTTGACATAGATGGTATTTCTATCTTTTCTGTTTTATTTGTTTTTTCTTATAATTTTGTATTATTTTTCTAAGCCACCAATAAGAACATATGGTGAAACATACAAAGCATGAATGCCGTGTCTCCTTTAAGAGACAGGAAGTATATGCTTATTTCTGTACACTCCATTTAATTAGCAGCCATGGGGAATTTGTGGTGGCAATTAAGTTGGGTGGTTCTTCTCCGGTTTGTATCATTTTACCTTGCAGACTTCTTTCTCAGGAACTCCCCTTAAGAGCGCAAAGAATTCGAGGTGCTCTCGCCCAGTCAGCAATTCCTGAATGGCATCAAACTGAGGACAGTAGCCCATGTTCCGATGGACTTCTTCGATGTTAGACAAAATACTGTGAAGAAAGGAGACCGCTTCTTAAAGACTTGCCAGTTTTACTCCAGCTGTCTGACAGAATTCTCAGACTTGAACATCTAAAGCAGAAGTAGAGCTGTTGGGGGCAATATGCTGACTCTAAACTGCTTAGAGAGGGCTGTAAAGCACTGTGAAGTGGTATATAAGTCTAAGTGCTAGTGCTATATGCTAAGACAGGGGTCCCCAACCTGTGGGGCTGGGGCCACGGCCTATTGGCCACCAGGCAGCATGAGTGACTGACCAGTGCAGTGCATGAGGACGTGCGCACGCACACACCACTTGTGGTAGCGTCGCTGAGCGCTTCCGGCCCTGTTCGTGTGTGCGCATAAAAGCACCTGCCCCTCCTACCCTCCAGGCCGCCAGAGGTTGGGGAACTCTGGGCTAAGTTATAATTGTGAATGGGTGAATAGATAAAGCCAAAGGTAATTTTCATTTAGTAACCATTTGCAGTGATGGTGATGAGACAGTAATTTTGTTACCAATCCTTCTATTTATGATCTTCATATATAGCCAAGGAAAGCTGAAGTAAAAACAGCTGCAATCTCACTTAACGACTGCTTCAATTAACAACCAAGTTTCTTTTCCCAATTGTGGTTGCTAAATGAGTTCTACCTGTAAAGTTTTCTTCATACCTGTTTCCCTTCAAAAAAGCATCTCCTCCTGTAACATCAGTGTCTCCAGTCAACATCTTAAAAGTGGAAGATTTCCCTGCGCCATTCACGCCCAGGAGCCCAAAGCACTGAAACCATTAAGAGTTACAATATCAGCACACCATGTCCCATCTTTCCCTACAGATCCCTTACATACATCCCAACAGTAATGCCAGGATCTCAGAACCATTTAATTTGTTCTGAAATTTAGAAAGAATCCAAACATTATGAATGTCCCTCTGTAGTGTAGTAGCCAAGATACTTAGTTTTATATCTAAATTTATCCTATAAAATTCCCAAATTCAGGAGGGGCGCTCAGGCAAGCAGTGCCTATTATATAAAACATGGTGATAATTTTAAATGCTCTTGCACTTCCATTCCACATCACTACCATGATGTAGCCATGTACTTAAGCCTTTCCATTACTACAGGCCTTCCATGTGAATTTTTCAATTAATTGCTTTATTTATTTACCATTTAGTGTTTGAGTAATAATATATTAAATTTACAAGCAGAAAGACTGTAAAGCTTTACCTCTCCAGGAGGAATTCCAACACAGATCCTATCCACAGCAGGTTTCTGTTTCATTCTGTACTTCTGGAAACAGTAACAGAAATTGATTTGTAGATTACAACAATTCAGCTTTACAAATTGTATCCCTTCACCTCTCTTCTCTTTCCAGGCAAGATTTTCCAGATTTTTATCTTCCTTTCTATTAACTTTTTCCATTTGCATCAACTACAAGCCTCTTCAGGAAAACCACGCACAAATTAACACGTGAGCAACTCTGTTCTGCCTTTTTATATCCAGTGAAACCCTGAAAGGGTAACATCAATTTACACATTTAATGACTTATAGTTACTCCCTCATGGGAGAAATTCTTTTCAGCAGCAGTATTAGGTGACAATCAACAGCAGGTTTCAGAATCCAGTCTTTGATAAGATGTATAAATGTTCAAAGAGAAATGCCATTTTCCTACACGCACGACTTAATTTGTTGTTTCCCTCACCTTGGTTAATTCTTTGATTTCTAAGATGTCACTCTGCCCACCACCACCAATGATCCTCTGCCTTTCTCTAATCACATCTTCATCCTCTTCGTTTACAGGTGGAAGCTTTGCATGGATAGGCCTTTGGGGAACAGGGTGAAAAAGGAATATATTGTGTTAAAACTTACTTCAACATTCAAACTTCAAATTGTGCTACATAACAGATACACTACTGGACACCATCCCAATATGTGGAACTTAGTTGATCCTCTTTCCCAATTTATGAAAATTAAAACTCACACTTAAAGGCAAGCCCAAGGCACATCCCAAAAATTACCATCCGCCTTAACATTTTAAAATGAACTCCCAAGATGCTTTAATCATTCATCTAAAAATGTAATGGTAGCAAACATCAGTACCAGAGAAAAAACATCTATGCCAGGGGTGAAATCCAGCAGGTTCTGACAGGTTCTGGAGAACCAACAGTGGAAATTTTGAGTAGGTCGGAGAACCGGTAGCAGAAATTTTTGAATAGTTCGGAGAACTGGCAAATACTACCTCTGGCTGTCCCAGAGTGGGATGGGAACGGAGTTTTTGCAATATCCTTCCCCTGGAGTGGGGTAGAAATGGAGATTTTGCAGTATCCTTCCCCTGGCATGCCCACCAAGCCATGCCCACCAAACCACACCACACCACGCCTACCAAGCCACGCCCACAGAACCGGTAGTAAAAAAAATTGAGTTTCACCACTGATCTATGCCATATTTTAAAAGCAGTATGCTTCCCAAATAAGATTTGCTTGTTAACAAATCTAGGTTTGCTTCCATGAATTATATGAAATAACTGACAGATTGGGGTGAAGCATTAAATTGGATAATTGAGATATTTGAAATTGAAAAGTTGGTTTTGGTACATTAGCAAAGGAAGAGTAGAATGAGCAGAAAATACGGACAAAATGGATGGGGTTGGGGGGAAAATGAAGGTCTATGAAGTTCCAGGAGTATTACTGAAACCAGGTCTATGGTAAATTCTAAAATAAATTTGAGTTATTAGTATAAAAAATGAAGGTAGAGTTTTTGATCTTAACACTAATCCCTCATTTCTCTTCTTCTAACCCCTTCAGTGGGGACATTTGTTGTTCTTCTGTAACAGGCATTACAGGTAGGCCTCAGGTTACGACGACAATGGAGATCAGAATTTCTTGTTGCTAAGCAATAAAGTTTTAAAGTGCAACATGATGTGACTGCATTGTTTAACAACAGCAATCCCAGCAGTCCTGGATCCCATTGTAATCCAAGAACCACAGAAGGAGTCCCAGGCCAGCAGGCAAGAGCTGCAGGTGGATGGACGTCACAGAGCATGGGGGTGGGCAAAAAAGCAGCAGGAACAACTTGTGACCTCCTGTACCTGCAGGCTTCTCCATTTGACTCGCTTGTAGGAAGCCAATAGGAAAGTTTGCAAATGACAATCACGTGATTGTGGGATGCTGCGTGCAAGTGTTGTAATTACGAACCAGATGCGAAGTGCCCGAATCGCAATCACATGACTGCGGGGACATGGAATAGCCACAATTACAAGGACTGGCCTTAAATTCCCCTCAATCAGTATCGTTATTAACTAAGAACAGTTGCTGAAGGAGGGGTCGTAACTCGACAATTACCTACAGTAAAATGTTCCCCTCTATAGGTTTAGCGCTATAACTTTTTAATAATTCTTTACATTTGGCTGCATGAGCTGGGAATCAACAAGAGTTAAACTTTCACCCTCCCAAAATTCCTGGAGGGCACTAGATCGTCGGTGCCTGATTTAGGTCCTCATGCCTCTGCCAAATCCAAAAATATCCATGCACCCTTCCCATGCTAGGAACTGATTGCTACAGAGGATTTCTTACTTTGACTTGATAAAGAATCTGTACTGGATCAACACCGTGATGAGGAAGAACACAACTCCTTCTATAGCCATGGCAAAAAGGTTCCTCCCAACTAGGTTCCAGGAGAGAGGGGAGACAAAGCGATTCTCACCTGGTCAGAGAGAGCAGATAAATTGGTTCAGCCTTCACAAAGATCCCCAAGAAGCCACTGCTGTGTAGCTCCACCATTACGTGGATGTTTCAAATACAATGTGCCGAAATGAAGTGATAAATTAATATTGATTGGGATGGAGAATGCATAATTCTGTTCCTTTTTTCATGGCTAGGAAAACTAAGACATGCATTATAAAACAGACATTGTAGGGGAAGTCTGATAGCCTATGATAACCAACATCAGAAAGAGCCCAATAGCACCTTTTCAAACTTAAAAAAAAAAAAAAAGATTTCAGGCTATCTCAATAAATGCAACAGCTTTTTAATATATTAAAAGGATTAATTGATGAAGGAGTTGTCACTTATCTTCCATGTAGCCCATATCTACCTAATCACCCCACCTTATTTTCTCTTTCGTTGTTCCCCTCTGCCTGAAACTACATCAGTTTAGCCACTCCAGGCATCTAATGAACTGAGCTGTAGTTCACGAAAGTCTCTGCCTTTTTGATAAAACATGTTAACCTAAAAGGATATTACCAGATCCTCCCTTCTGCTTTGGGGCTTAAAAAACAGGAAGAAAAATAGAATGTAACACGCTCCAAGCCCAGGCTGTGAAATCCTAAACTGTGTGAGCAACATCTTACTTACCAAATCTTTCAAGGGCATCTGCCATTGCTTGGTTTTTCACCATGTCAATTAGACCCCGCCCCAAGCAGAAGTGTGGAAAGATAAGGAACACGGACTTCAGGATGTCATTGATGTTGTTGAATTTCTAAAAGACACAGAAGCCAAGGCGATCAGCAGCTTGAACATTTTCAAACAGGACAGATGTCAAGGGCACTAGATCTACAACTCAGAAAGCATTGAAAGAATTAAACAACCATTAAGACTTCAATTATTTAAACCAGTCCCTTAGCTTTGGCTTAAAATGTAAAAAGTTTAGGGCAAAAGGATAAATTTGTACCTTCCTCTATTTTTTTCTTTTTAAATCAATCAATCATCTGGATGAAAAGGAACCAAGTGATGGTTCCTCTTTGCTTTTCAAAATTAAGGTTGTAAAAAAAATGCTTTTAAAAGCCTCTGACGATCCCAGCTGAGCCGCGCGATCATCAGTCTTTTTTTTTTACTTTTAAAAGCATTTTTTTGGCCGAAGAGGTTGTAGAAAAAATACTTTTAAAAATAATTTTAAAAGCCTTTGATGATTGCACGGCTCAGCTGACCATGGGGGGGGGGCAGGGATTTTTGCTACCGGTTCTCCGAACCACCCGCCTCCATCGCTACCAGTTTGGGTGATCTGGTCCGAACCGGGAGCATTTCATCCCTGTATAAAGGTGTATATCTCCTACTGCAATCATAAATTCAGATTCTCCCCTTTCAATTACACCTTTAGAAAAGATTGTGCAATTGGAAGAAGTCCTAAGTGTGGTAACACAAATACGCCTTGCTTTCCATATTCATCTGACTCAAACTCACAAGAAAATCAATTGTGCAGAAAAACCAAATGCCATTTTTGGTTTACTCAGTGAGAACTCACACTGCTGGTGAATAGTTCAAGGACGAAAGTGATTACGCTCGCATTGATGCCAATGAAGAGGTTTACGCTGGTCAGCACTACGTATGCCGTGCTAGGAATCTTGAATATAAAAGATGCTGGGTACATGAGGGGAGTTATGGACCACCTGGAAAAGAACACAGAAAGACATTGAGGTCTCTTCACCTATGTTGTGACTCCGACCCCTGAGCCCGTTTTATCGGAGGGAGAAGGCTCCGAAAGTGAAGGAGAGGAGTTGGCCAGGCCTCCCTCTCCAGGCCTCTCCTCTCTGGCAATGCCTCAGATGTCTCCCGAAGGAGAAGAGATTGGCCAGGAGCCAGGTATCGCCGAGCAGTCGCAGTCTGACAGTGACGGAGATAAGTCTTGGCTGGATCCACACCAGCGTTGGAGAGACAAGCGCACGCAGCAGAAAAGGAGGCGTGCCAGAGATTAAGCTGAGTCACTGGACCACACCCCACAGGGATAAAAGGGAATGTGGTGGTCATTCAGGCTCTGTGACGGACAAAACTAAACAACTAGCGAGTCGCATTTTATCTCTGAAACTACGTTATCTGCCTGCCTTGGATTTAATACGGACTGGACTTGACAATTCTGTGGCTTTGTGTATTTGTTTCGGTTCTCTGTGAGTAAAGTTCTTGGCAGCTACTGGGTTGCTGCCAATCCTGTTATCGAAGGAATTTATTGTCTGCAAGTTTTATTTAACTCCTGGCTGACTGTTTGTGTGCGTGTGTGAGACGGGGACAGAACAACCTATTCTACCAGTGGTTGCCCACACCTGAATTAAAAGAGCCTTCCTTACCCATAGAACAAAAGTAGAAGTGCCAACACTGGGAGGTTGGTTGAGGATACATAGGATTTCTGCTGGAAGCAGATAAAGATGATGATGACCAAAGTTGCTGGAATGATGTAGTTGCACTGTAAGTTTCAAAGAAAAAAAAAAAAAAAGAGAATCAGAAGAGCTCCAGATTAAAAGATGTAAACGAATATTACAATTAAGTTACATAGGAGATGGTCATGGCAAACTTTTCAAGAATTAGATCTTCTCAAGCTAATTACAATGAGACAAAGCTGATACAAACTGATCATAGTATAAGAGGACTTGATGGAACCACAGAAAAGGAGATAGGATGTCTGCTATACTTCACGATCCAAAGTGTTTGGGTTGCATGTTTGCAATTCCTTTTTCTTTTCTTTTGATTAGATTAAACCCCAATCTCCACAAAGTCTTCTTGTTGTTTTTAATGCAATTTATGTCAACTTTCAGATTCAAAGCATTCTACTTGCTATCTCCAAATCTGAACATTTGGAGACATGGCTGACATTGTAATTAAACTGAAACTCATGAGTTTTACTTAGTCTCATCTTTAAATAATCAGTACTGTGGCACTACTATCTTCTTTGTGGTTATTGCAATCTATCCTTGAAATAGTGTGTAGAGGCTGGCTTCTGATATTTAGAGAATGTGTATTCCTATACCAACATCTACTATTTCTGGTCAGGTTCTATATTACTCTTTGACAAGCCAGGAACAAAGTTCTGCATGGCAACTGCATTGTTTCAGACTATGACCAAAAGAAACAGAAATTAAAAATGTCAAACAGATGCAGCCTTACCATATCCCATACGAAATTGGCTGCCCAGTAGATCACTGGTTTCACACCACATATGAACTGGAGATGCTTGGCTTTACTGACACGTTCCTGGATTAAGAAAACCACAAAGCTGGCTGGAACAAAGGACATGGCGAAGATGACACAAATGGAGACCAAAACATCCACCGAAGTAGTCATCCTAGTAAAGAGAAAGATGGAAAGATGGAAAGGTGACAAATTGATTTTTGACTCGTTCAGTCAGATTCTTAATTAAGTATATCTTTAGAAAGGACAATTGTAATTGAAATCTTGGTTTATATAGTTGGAACTGCATAAAGAAGAGTTCAGACTTCATGTTCCATTGATCACGAGAGCCATATTTTTATTTCCCCTCTCTGTTCCTTTCCCTTCCACCCCTCATGCTGTCATTTCAGGACGTACAGGGCAACTTCAGAGATCTGCTGCTTGGTGAGGTTCAGCGGGTGATTGAAGACCGTAATGCCATAGTTGCTTGGATTCTCTCCATCTTGTAGGTTGGCGCGGAGAATGGCATTGTTGATCACATTGATAAAAGAGGCAACGGCATGCCAGCCTTTGTTGTTAAACCACACCTGAAAAAGGAAACATCTCATTTTAACTGAGAGAACATTAGTCATTTGGTAGGAGATCTCAGATTTGAGGATCAAAATCATAGTTTTCATGTGAGAGAGATTGCACATACCGATAGTTATATGAAATGGGGAGTTAAATTTTGATTAGTATTTATAATATACTAATTATTTTTTGCCTTAGGCAAGTTTTTTCTTGGTTTCTGGTATACACAGATATCTAAATGTCTATTGATATGAAAAAATGCCACGCATGTATATTTCTGGCAGGAAATATAATTTGGGGGATTGGTTTCAGATAGAGCTTGCAATTCTAGGTTAACAAGGTGAGGAAGCTGGGCAATGCAATTGACTGTTTATAGTTCATATGTTTTGTATATGTTGGTTCTAAGTTTTGTTGGAAGACTTATCCTAAATTCAGGATTGCCTTAGCTATTTATAACCACCATAGATCTGTTGGGCCTGATGAGACCAGCAAAATGATTTGTATATCATAGAAGGTCACTCTTTATTACTTAGTATGAATCACATTTCTGGATTGTCTTTTCCCAGTCAAGATTCATATTCAGATTAATAACTCCTACAAGAACATACAGGTCCTCACTTAGCAATACTAATTGGGACCAGCAAATGTGTTGCTAAGTGACATGATCACAAAGCACAACGTCACATGGCTACGCTAATTTACAATGGCAATAGCGGTAGTCCCAGTTGACATTGTTACATAATTGCACATATTAGCAGTGTCCCTAAGTCACACGATTATCATTTGTGACCTGCTGTTTTCCCCATTCATTTCGTTTGTCAGAAGCCAGCAGTGAAGATCATAGATGGTGATCACATGACACAGACTACTGCAACGTCATAAACGCCAAGAGCCCGAATAACGATGCCCTGTGACCAGGGGTAGGTTCTAAAATATTTTACTACTGGTTCTGTGGGCATGGCTTATTTTATGGGCGTGGCTTGGTGGTGGTGGGGTAATGTGAATAGGTGGGCGTGGCCAACTTTTTTTTTTTTTAACTTTTCAAAGCATTTTTTCTACAACCTTACGAGGTTGCAGAAAAAAATGCTTTGAAAAGCCTCTGCCGATCAGGCAACTCAGCTGAGATCGTCAGAGACTTTTCAAAGCATTTTTTTTACCACCTCTTCGGCCGAAGAGGTTGTAGAAAAAATGCTTTGAAAAGCCTCTGACGTTCCCAGCTGAGCCGGGGGATCATCAAAGGCTTTTTTAAAACTTTTAAAAGCATTTTTTCGGCCGAAGAGGTTGTAGAAAAAATGCTTTTAAAACTAAAAATAAAAAAAAAGCCTCTGATGAGATAGGCGGGGTAAGCGAGCGATGACCAGGCCGGGGACCGGTTCGGGGGCGTGGCCAGCCAATGTTATTACCGGTTCTCGGAACTACTACAAATTTTTACTACCAGTTCTTGTGAATCGGTGCGAACAGGGAGCAACCCACCACTGTCTGTGACCGCAGGGATGCTGAATGTATGGGATGTTTTGGAAATAAAATCTTATACCACAAAAGTAAACCATGTGGATATCACAATGAAGTATGTTTTTAATTTTAATTCCAGACAGGTTTGTTTTCTAAATTTGGGGAAACGCTATGTGGTGGTTCAAGATGTCTAAGCAATATGGTCCTGAAATCAGCCAAGTGGAATTAATACCTTAATATTTTTACTTGTGTCCAGGCCTTTCATGAAGTTCTGGAAGCTGTTTAGAAACCGTTCAGCAGCACTCCCCTAAAAATAAAAATGAAACTTTAAAAATCTAATTTAAAAAAAATAACTCCACTGATCTCCAGATAATGTACTTCTTAGTAATAGCAATAGCAATAGCAATAGCAATTGCACTTAGACTTATATACCGCTTCACAGTGCTTTACAGCCCTCTCTAAGCAGTTTACAGAGTCAGCATATTGCCCCCAACAATTTGGGTCCTCATTTTACCCACCTCAGAAGGATGGAAGTCAACCTTGAGCCTAGTAAGATTTGAACTGCCAAATTGCAGGCAGGCAGAAGTAGCCTGCAGTACTGCACTTGAACCACTGCGCCACCATGGCTCATAATCATATCAGAGAGGATGCTGTCTATGTGGTGTGTTTTTTTTTTTTTGCTGTATCCCCAATATATGATGGATATATGGATTCAAAAAGGAGCAGAAATTCCAAGTATCCTCCTGGAGCAACTTTTACTCAAATAGCGAAATTCCTTAGCTATTTACCTTGGCAATTTCCAAGATTTTCTTCACTTGATTGATGGCATCATTAACCTCTTCATGACGAGGAAGCACAATAGATCCACCAGCTCCCAAAGAAAAACCACCATATCTATGAACAGATGAAAGAAGCTGTTGTAGTAGAAGGTTATTTTTGTAAATGTTTCCTACTCCATGACTTTGTATTTTTGGCATAATGTGCAGCTTTCTAAATCCTTATATTGAGCAAGACAATAAAACAAAATATGCTGCAACCTTCAGCAAAGGTACATGTGCTTGTTTATATGTAATACAGAGGGGGGGACCCTGGTTATAGATAACTCGAGATAGATCTCCATCCCACATGAACAAAAAGAAGAGCAGCCACATAGATATTTCTCACACTACCACGCTCTTCTCCTTCATTAAAGTGAGATCCATATAGAACAAATGGTGAGTTATGAAATTGCATTTGGGTATTACTCATTTATTGGCCTCACTCTCTCCAATTTGGAATGTCCAACCTAGCAAGTTACAGAATAGCTGGTTATAGTATTATAATTACCGTAGATTATAAGTGTATAAGAGATTATAAGTGTAAATTGATTATTAACTGATTCACACTTTTTTTTTTCAGTTTCTACTCTCACTTTGTCTCAACAACGTCTCTTACCCATCTACCTACAATCAATGGTTTTTATATACACACAAAATAAATTAAACTAAATGATAATATAATAGGGTTTGGCTTGGCACATTGTATGAAGCTGGCTATTTTTGCTTGTAAACTATTGTTTAATGGCTCAGAGTTACATATGAGCCTGGACTCATTCAATCAGTTATGGATAAAATAAAACATATGTAGTTGCAGTGTGTGAACACACATTTCATGCATTCTAGTGAGTGACTATCGTCTCTCAAAGTGTAGCTACATCACATTATTGGTTGAGTAAATGACTGGGTAAGGAATGGCTTAAAAATAAAGCCAAACTGGAAAAATCTATAAAAAGTCATTGCGGATATGAGTAAAGCTCTTAAGATCAGATGACTCTCATAAAGGGAGAGAAAAAAAGATATTTACCTGAATTCATTGACCCAATGCTTACTCTTCAAACTGTGGGTATAAAAAGCAAAGAAAAACTCATTATATTAGGTCTAAGTCAACCAGTTCCAACATTTATAAAACAGGGAGAAATACATTTGATTAAAAAGCCTTTTCAATAGAAAGGGGACTAGAGCAAGGGTCTCCAACCTTGGCAACTTTAAGCCTGGAGGACTTCAACTCCTAGAATTCCCCAGCCAGCCTCCTGCAACACTTTATTGGCCAAAACGGGGCCTGGGGGTGCCGGGTGCCTCCCCTGCACCTCATTTTCGCCCTCCGTGGCTTCCTGCAGCACTCTGCCGGCCAAAAACAGGCCAAAAAACGGGCCCGAAAATAGGCCAAAAACGGGCCGAAAATGGGTTACGCAGGCTGTTTTCAGCCTGCAGAGGCACCGCTGGCCGGTACTTTGATATTTCCAGGCCGGCCCCATAGGCCGTATTTAACCACCCCGTGGGCTGGATGCGGCCCATGGGCTTTGAATTTGATACCCCTGGCCTAAAAGGATGCTACCAGATCCTCCCTTCTGCTTTGGGGTTAAAAGATAGAAAGTAAAACAATGGAATACATGTAAACTGCAGCTTGATAATCATAGTAAAAGTTGCCATAAAGTAAGAAGAGTAGCAACAATAAGCAAGATGAAGCACCTTTTTCCAATGATCTGGGCATAAGTCTTCACCAAATAGTCAGAAATGTTGCGCCCCGTCAGATTCTGCAGAATATCAGTGGTCTCCTGGATTCTCTGTAGATAGTGGAGGAGGAAAGTAGAACACTGAATAAGCCAGGATATGATTGGTCCTGAATTACCACTATTGTCATTTATTATAGAAATCAGTAACCCAAGCCCGCTATGAATATTCCACATTTCATCTTCCATCCATAGCAGAGGTCATGAAACCTCTGAAATATATTAAAGGTTAGCTAACACTAGGTTTTAATTTCTCTTTTTCCCCTCTTCATTCTAATACTTCATATTCTAATGATATAAATGTAGCAGGTTAGATACCAGTAGTTATGGATGTACCTCATTTTGCCCAAATGACAATTCTACTTCATAAGCTGCACTAGTTAAAGGTTCTGACTGTATCTCTAATGCCCTTCATGACTGTAGACCGGAGTAATTACGAGCCCTCCTTTCTCCAATTGTCTCTGTTCATCTTGTAAGATTTGGCATAATTGGCTGCCTGCAGGCCCTATTGCTTTTTTAGTAGTAATTTTATTTTAAAAATACAATTGCAACAATAGAAATGAATGCAAACTAAAAAAAGAAAAGGAAAGGAAAAAATTTGAAGATGCGGGAAAAAATTAGAAAAGAAAATGTATAAAGAAACGTCTTTCCCCTTCATCACAAGTATAAACTTAATAATTTATCACATCACATAAAGTAAAACAAATAATCCCTGATTCATCTTTTATCTATAAATAAAGCCTGAAAGCCTCATCATTCTGTCCCGATAAGCAAAAGTCTATTAAGGGTTACTAGAGATAACAATATGTCTATTTTAAACTTGATCAAATAAACCAACTTTACCTCCCTTCTCTTTATTTTTAACAATCTTGATCTTTATCTCTTCAAATAATGCCCTAGAACTTGATGTCAGGGTTCCAAGGAACACCCCCAACGAAATAAAACTCCGAGGCCTGAGGCTCCTCAAAATTCTAATTTATTAGAGATGTCATGTTGGCACATCTGGGAAAACCCGAATCTGAAAGCTTCCAGGTTTCCCCCACCCAGCTAACAGTTCACAGCCCTGCCCCACACTCACAAGTTCATCACACAGGCCAATCAACTTTTCACATTCAACTGGATACAATCTCCAGGCAGTCTCCAGCAGATGCAGGCAAAAGTGTCCTTGAATATGGAATGTTGTTATGACTAACTTTCTACCGCTCCAACAAAAAAAACCCTCCCAATTCCCCAGGCTAAAATATGTGGCAGTTAGGAAGCAAAAAGGAAAACTGTCTTCCAAAACTGCCACTTGATTTCCTTTCCATTTTTTTTTCTTTTGACTTTCTCACAAAATTCTCCAAACCTTTAACAGTCCTGTTTTTTGTAACTCCAATATAGAAAAATTATCCAGGTCACTCTCTTGGTTTGTAATTTGTATATCCCTTTTAATTACTACTTAATTTAATTCTGCTTGTTTCTTTTGTATGTCAAGGGTAGCATCTTTTTCCATAAAATTCTTGTAGCTTGTCGCTTTTACATCCACGTTCAGATTAGTTTTCCTCCTTGTAAGGTAAAATTTGTTCCTCTTCCACAACCTCTTTTAATCACAATCTATTTATAGATGCAGATATTTTTACAATTAACTTCTGGGCTCATTGTTTAAAAATATCCTTCAATATTTAGACAAACCTAGTGTCTTCATCTCCTAGAGCTCTAAACCTACCAGAGACCAGTGTCCTACTGTCTCCTCACAAGGAGCAACTGTCTGGTGCACTTGTGGATAAGCTCAAGTTCTCTTCTTGTTTGGAAAGCGATTATAAAGAGGTGATTTACTCAGCAGCTCTTAACTATTTCTTTCTTGGAAGTCTCAAGGCCTTATTGTTGAAACAATGCCATCTTATAAGATTCAGAGACAGAGTGGTCTATGGTTGATTCTTCTCCTCTGGAACAACATCATCCCTGAAAACCACATGGTCCAAAGTCTGCTTTTAAGCAAGCTCTAAAGATCTGACTATTCCAGAAGACCTTCACAGGGTGACTTGTGATCCTCTATGCTTAGATTTATATCTGCATTTGGAACTGTAGTTTCCATTTTAAAAAAAAGGGTCATTATATAGCTGTGTGCCACCTCAAATGGCTGCAGCAGCTTATAAATGGATTACATCAATGAAATAATTCACGGTTATCTACTGTCTATCCATCTACCTTCCTACCTCCTAGCAGGATGTTTTAGCTGCCAGGAATTAGGACTGGAAGAAAGTATATCCCAAGTGTTAACTACATACCTGGGGAGGAGGTAGACCACCAGCCCCAGCAGGGCACATTGGAAGTATTTTCTTGGTATTGTTACTGCTACATGTGCATGCTGGGGAAGGATTCTTCATTGTCCAATTGCCTTTCTGGAAGATTTCCATGAGATTCTCAGGCACTGGATCTTGGCTCCACTCTTCTTTTCCCACAGAACAAGGAGTCCCTCTGTAAAAACACAAAACAGAAGACCAAAAGAAAAGACTTTCATTCAGCAATCTTATACTAGCCAAGCAGATGGCAGGACTAAGGAGCCCCGTTTCCTATCACCAATTATATATACACGGATTAGGCAGGTGATTAATCCTTTCTATTTACATCAGTTTGAACTATAGGCACACATGGCCCGAATGTAGTTTGTAAAAACAACTTTCAAGTATGAAATCTTAAGAGCTCCACCTTAAAACAGATAAGTAGCAACTCGTGTGGCTGCTAAGGTTTTATAGCGCTTTGCCCAAGCCATTCCAGTTATATTGTTTGGGCCTGCAGCTACCCAACTTTTCCATCAGGTTAACCACTAGTTATATCAGTTAGGATTTCTGACAGCTGCAGATTCAGCATAAATTCAGTATACATTCGAGATCAAGAAATTCTTGTCAGAATTTAAGAACATAAACCAAAAAACCACATTAACAGAATTTAAGAACATAAACTGCATTCTGTAGCTGCAATCTGTATTTCTCCCAGAATTACTGAACACACAACACAGTCATACTAGTAACTGCCAAGAGATCCATGATGAATGTCAAGTGTTTTCTGGCTCTTTCTTCATTTTATGAAGTGTTTTCCTAATATTCCACTTACGGAATGGAGTATCCTTCCATGCAACGGGTCCCGAAACCAGGTTTGCTGAGAAGAGCACTCAAAAGCTTTTGAGTAGTGGCATCTTTTGGGGCATCATTGCTGTGGATGCATCAAAAGGAAACCATCAAGGCTTAAAATTAATTCAAAGGCAGAGGAAACAGAAACAGAGGAATAAGAAGAATTCAGGAAGATGAAGCTATTTGTTTCAAACAAAATTAATGTTCCTTCCCATTAATACCCATTAATTCCATAGTCCTTCCATGTTTATTTCTATCTCCATTCAGAATTCCCAGAAGTATATGATATGATGCATTTGGTTTTGCATTGTTTATCACATCTGACTTAATCTGTGAGTTTGAGCCTGCACACCATAACATACTAGGTGATATCAGATTTCTTGAACTATGGCTTAATATTTACCTGATAAATGTGTACTGCTCATCATACATCCACGGGTGCAATTCAAGGCTGGGATATTTTCCAAAGGGAGGAACAATCAGACTGAACAAAAGAGCAATGCAAACGAAGATGGCAGGGAGGACAATCTGAAATGAGGCAGATAGGAGGGAAGGGAACAGGCTCACAAAATTCTTCAAGAATAACAGTTTTGCACAACATTCTAAAAACTTGGTTCCTATCATTTCCAATATTTAATCAGCAATGTCAAACTGAATTGCAGATTCCTTTGTCATACAGCCTTTCAACAGCAAATGAAATGAATCACCCAGGAAAAAAAAGCAAATAATTGCACTTTTCTTGGGGGGGGGGAATCCTTACAAAGAACATGGCCTTCCCCCCACCACATTTCAAACTTCATCCCACATTAAAACTCTAAAAACTTTGAAGTGATTAATTCAGCAGAAAAAAGCAACCACAGAAGAGCATTATTCATCCTGCAAATTACCATTCTTGTCAATATAGAGTTTAATATATATTGGCGTTGGATGGAAAATAAGAATCTGATTTTAACCCCTTAGGTGTAAACTATCAGCATTCAAGTTTTGCACTGAGAAAAGCTTACACTTACAAGTATTGCAGTGTCCCCCCACGGTCACATGATTGCCATTTGTGCAAGCTGGCTTCTAACAAGCCAAGTCAATGGGGAAGCCAGATTTTCTTAATGACCCCATAATTCATTTAACAACTGCAGCCATTTGCTTAACAACCGGGGTAAAAAAAAAAGGATTGTAGAATTGGGCATGACTTGGCAATGGAAGTTCCAGTCCCAATTGTGGGTTGTAAATTGAGGACTACCTGTAGAATTGAACCCAACTCACCTGGGCAAAAATGCCTTTTCTGCTGCGCTTGGCAATAAGCAGCCGCTTCCAAAGCAGAGCTACAAACTGTTGCTGGGTCAGCTTCCAGCCCTTCATCTGACTGGATCCTTTGCCATCTATCCCACTCAGAAGGTCAGTTTCCCGAGATTCTGCAAGCAAAGAATTGGGAGTCAATGAAAACTTTCATCTATATCCCTAAGCTGAAGAACTTCTAGGTAGGACACCTTGTTTAAGCATCTGCTTAGAGTTCTTGAAACCTTTCCTCTCTTACTTAGCATAGGAGGATTGCATGGCTCACAAGCTGTAATACAACCCCCCCACCCCAAGTGCCCCAGCTAGCATGGTCAATGTTTAAAGATAGGAGTTGCAGTTCAGGAATATCTAGTAGGGTTGTTAGAACTGGTAGATTTTCCATCTCTGCAACAGATACATTTTCCCTCCAAATGACCTGAAGCAAAAGAGAAATTTTTGAACTGGAAGCCATGTTGGAGCTAGAAGCAGCAGCTGTCAAAAGGAAATCAAGTGGCTGAAACAGCAGCCTGGCACCTGCATTTTTTTGATGCTAAACTTGAAGTTATGAATTTCTAGTAATAAGGCTCGGGGAACTGACCCTGACTGTCCTTTCCAGCAATCACAATAACAATTTTCCACCGTATCGTTATTAGTTTATTTTGACAAATGTTAATTCACAGACAGCCATGCACGTCCTTTGATTATTCAGTACCACTTTGTGGGTTGCATCAACTAGGCTTAAAACCAAATATATCTCTTCATATTCAAGCTTAGAGAAGGTAAGTGGTTGCCTTGGCCAAGCGCGCCTCATCAGCATGGGACACAAGACAATGAAGGGCAGAGGGGAACAGCAAATGGTGGAATACAGGACAGCTGGAAAGACAGAGACGTTAGGAAGATAGGCAGGTTCAGGGAGCTGAAGTCAAGGCAAGCATGGTAGGGCAGAAGAAACATGAGGTCCTCACCTAACAAATGCAACTGGGACTACTGGAACCGCCACTACTAAGCAGTATGGTTACATCATATTTCACCTCAGCTCTGCTCAACAACAGAAATTCTGGTCCCAATTACTGTTAGTAAGGAAGGACTACCAGTAAATTAACTCTGATGTCAATCTGGAGGAAGCCTCTTGTTTCTTGGGTCTCAAGTTATGTACACCGGGTTTTATGTTCATGTGTGAAGTTCATCAAAATTCTTCCAAACATGGGTGTATTGGGAGGTGATACTGCCCTGAATTACAATGACCCATCCATAACCTCAAAGTCCTTATTTGAAATATGATCAACAAATCATGCACAGCAAATGAACCTCAGCTTACAGTTGGTCATCAGTTATAAATATAATGTACTTTTTATCTCATAAGCTTTCCACACTACCTGGATCTATGTCAGAATCGTTGGCATCAAAAGCATCATCTTCTGTGAATGGGTGAAGGCAGCTTTGTCGGTCTCCAAAGACTCGGTTTCTTCTAGCGGGTAATGTGCCATCTGAAAAGAAGAGTTTATTTTCTATCAAAATTGAAGTCACGATGCCTTAACTATTACACTTGTATGTTTTCTGCTCCGTTTTCCTTTTATTTTTAAGAGTCTTGTCCAGCCAGGAATTTCCCAGAAAAGAAATAAAAGTTGCTTCAAGGAAGTGACGTGTCATTGTTTTTAGAAGAAAGGGCAATGGGATAGAAGCACAGTGATGTGGGTGCAGGTTTGGTTCAGGCAAACCTGAGCATCTAAAGGCCAATCTCATCAACATTTGCTGAGTGATTTCATTTCATGGTTCTTTGATTCTAGGGCAGGGGTATCAAATTCATGTCGTCACGTGACCTATCGTGACTTTCCCCCAATTTGTGTAACCAGGGGTGAACAGCGTGGGACGCATCTGGCCTGCAGGCCGCAAGTTTGACAGCCCTGTTCTAGGGTATGTGAATCTTCTCAGCAGACTCTCAAATGGTACCAGCTTTTAGCACACGTCAAACTATTTTCGTATGGAAGCTGTAACATTTGAAAGATGCTGACAGATACATCAATCCAATTCACATTACGAATCACCTTATTACTGACAGATCTTTCTGGAAATCTCCATTGCCGGCATAAACCTTTCTTACTCCATAGGTTTCAAATACAATAGCTAGACATTAAGAGCTACCACATGAAAGGATCATTTAATGTACAACAGTACTGATTTTAGGGCAGCATGTTATAATAATAATATTGTTTATTGTTATAATTATTTTTTTAAGGAATAGTTTATTTTTTCCTTTTACAATGTCATGCAGCTGCATTAACATAATTCCAAGATACATTTAAAAAAAGAAATATAGAAAATATAAGAAAAATATATCATCTAAATAAAATTAGGTACTATACATGTGAAAAGTTATTATATATAAAGAATATACCAGATTACAATCTATTGTTATTAAGGTAAATCATAAAAACCAACCAAGTAATAAAATTGTGGTTTCTCTTTTGAAATTTCATTAACATTTTTCTAATGTGGTAATTGAACAGGCTTTACTAATCCACAACTCAGTTGTTATATTATCTAAAGTTTTCCAGTGTTGCACAATTTTTGCTGTTTTACCTGAAGTCTCTGCGTTGGCATTATCATCTGCCACCTTGAGAAAAATCTGAAAGACAAAAGTGATGCCTTTAACTTATGCTGCTTTATGCTAAGCTACATTGAGGATCTATCTTGAAGCCTCTATAGCAGGGGTGTCAAACTCAAGGCCCATGAGCTGGATCTGGCCCATGGGTTGCTTAGATTTGGCCCACACGGCCGCCCTGGAAACAGCAAAGGACCAGCCGATGGTGCCTCTGTCAGTGAAAACGGAGCTCAGGAGGGCTGTGTGTGGCCCACACAAGCTCTGTTTTTAGCTGTGACGGCCTCCTGCAGCCCTCTGCCAGTGAAAATGGAGTCAAAAATGGAACCCGGGAGAGTTATACGCGGGCTGCAAGACGTTGAGCTGGCCATGCCCACAATGGCCATGCCCACCCCAGCCACACCCACATTCCCCCTCCCGAGGTCAGACACAACCCTCAATGAAATCGAGTTTGACACTCCTGCTCTACAGGATAGTTCTACATAAACTGTATGAGTCATCTCAACATTCCAGTTTGGTGTAGTGATGAAGGTACTGGACTAGCAAACAGCAGACTATGAGTTCTAACCCCACCTTATGTATGAAAGCCAGCAGGACAATCGTGGGCCAGTCACTCATTCTCAGCCTAATCTACTTCACAGGGTTGTTGTTTTGGGAGAAATTGTAGGTGGGAGCATTATTTACAGCAGTGTTTGTCAACCTTGGCAATTTGAACACATGTGGACTTTAATTCCCAGAATTCCTCTGTTGAAATTGAAATCTATCCATCTTAAAGTTGCCAAGGTTGAGAAATACTAATTAGCACCAACTTGATTTGTACAAAATAAAGTTAGAATATAAATCTAATTATAATAAATACTTAATCCCAGTTAAATATTTATTATTATTTATAATAAATAAATAATACCAGTTAAAGCAAGCAGGTTCCAACTTGATAAAATCAAGAACATGATATGATGAAATACCTCCCATATTTTTATATTTGTTCGGGATTGCCTTTCTTCCATTTCATCTTTTTTATTGTACAGCAATCTTTCTCCTCAAACCTACCACCTCTCTTTTCTTTCCTTCTTATTTTCTCTTCCCCTCCTCTTTTTCTCCTCCCTACTTCCCCTTCCTTTCCCCTTCTCCTCCTCTCTTCCTCCCTCTCTAACCCTCACTCCTACTCTAATTTCCCTTCCCTTCTTTCCTTCCTCCCTTCTCTTCCTTCCCTCTCTCTCCTTCCTTCTCTCTTCCATCTCTCTTCTCCTTCCTTCATCCCTCTCTGTTGCTGTATTCATTTTCAATTTTATATTTTCCACTATGGAGTCCAGGCAACCCCGATCTTTCTTTCATTTATCAAGTATATTTCTCGAAATTTCCCCTCATCTTTTTTAATTATCAGCAATATATTTCATTTTATTCCATTTTTTCTTTTAAATCTTTAGTCAAACAATCTTCCAACCCTTAGACTTTTTACTTTTAACAATATATTTTTTTCTACTTTACTTCTTACAAGTATACAAGATATTAAGATAAAGAATGAATTGTTTAAAGAATAAAAGAGAACAAATATGAATAAATAGCAATAATTAGAATTTAAGGGCAAATGAAGATGTTGTTTATGTAAGCCAGCATAGAAATATTGAGACATGATTAAAAAAAGGGGGGTGGAAAGATTTTGGCAAAAACTGTAATTGAGTAAAATGTATTTGAATTTGATTAATTGTATAAGATAAGATATAACCAATGCTCTGTTCAAAAAAGATGTGGGTATATGTGGGGGGGAGGGAGCAATAAAACTTTTTTTTTTTTAAGAAATGCCTCCCATATTAACACTTCAGCCAGGAATCAAACGTGTTATGCTTAAGCATGATTAATGCTCTTTTGTTTCCACAAACCCTTTTTTTATTTTTCTGATGCTACTCTTTTAAATTTCTGTCTTAAATAAAGGCTGACAATTATTGTGGCCTATTTTAGAACATTTTAAAAATATTTTTTTTCTTACCAAAAAGTGCATTAACAACTTTAGTAGGAGTAAAAGCGTAGCAAAACAGAAGTTTCAATAAATATTTTCACTGGTCTTTCTTATTATGGGTTTTTCCCTACATTGAGTTGGTATTCTCTCCCCTAGAGTTAGCAGTCCAACTCTATCCTGCTTCTACGCCTCCACTACAATTATAATCCTAACAGGTTTACACACTTTAAAGCAGCCATTGCACTCTGACGAAATAAACAAGAGAAGGCTAGATAAATACTTGCACAGCTAAAGCTGTCCTAACCTGTTTCGCTCATGAACGGAGAAGGGGTTGGAGCAGTGGTGGGTTCCTCCTGGTTCCGCCGAGCCGGTAGCAGTTACGATATGATGTCACCGAACTGGTTCTGCCCCCCCCCGCCACCCACCACGTTATTCTTACCTTTTATTTGGCCCCACCCCCAATCTATTGCTGCCTCCTGAGTCCCAGCTGATGGCTAGAGGGAAAAAAACTCTTCAAACTCTTGCCCTGGGGCTTCAAAGGGCCGCCCTACAGCTGATCAGTGGTAAAAGAAAACAAATGAGTAGACCGGGGCCTGCAAAAATAAATGGGTAGACTAGTGCCTGCAAAAATAAATGGGTAGATAGGTACAGCTCTGCAAGCAGTTAAAAGCCTGGTAGACCAGTACCTCTGCTAAATCCTAAATAATTGTCACATGATCATCAAGCCACGCCCACAGAACCGGTAGTAAAAAAATTTAGAACCCACCCCTGGGTTGGAGGCAATGTCATGGTGACATAACAGAGAAAGGGAGGTGGAGGGGAAGGCTTGTGGTGTGGTTAAGTACAAGTAAGAAAGAAAAGACCCAAAGATATGGATCTCATGGAAGAGAATTCAAGCTTTGTGGGAGGAAGACAGAAAATCATGTTTGAAAAAAAGCCAAGATGAGCTATCCCCAAGTGGCAGGCCACATACTTCTGAGAAAAAGGGTTCCTGATTTAATCCATGACATTTCCAGGTAGGGCTACGGTAGGGTTAAGATTAGGGTGAGCCAGTTTTTTTTCAAAGTTCCCTGCAGAGATGCTAGGGGAGGGCAGTTCCTTTCCCAAAGAAAGCTGGGGGGAAAGATGAGTTTTTTACCGACCTCACAGATGGAAGTTCTGATTAGGCCTCTACCGCCATGCATGGATGCCCTGATAAGCATAAGTAAAATCCAGAGGCAGAACTGTAGAGAGCTGCTTTTAGCATAGCTCACAGTAACATCCGTGGAGATGAAGTTTCTACCCTCATGTGCAGCTCACCAGAGACATCTGAATATTCCCTGACCACAGTTCATAGCATTGGAGAATTAGATCCATGAATAGCATGAAATTCTTAAGTTTGTATTTACTACTATTACTATTTATTTCTATTACTATTCTGCCCACCAGAAAAGCCAAAACACAGTTTTGCAACACTGCGATTCATTTCATGAGAATGGGGTGTTAATACGTTTTGGAAGCATACCCCTCTCCCAAGTGCAAGAAGGCTACTATTGGACCTCAGGAGCAATCTTTTCCCAATTACATTGATCCATCCCACCTGGTTAAGCAGGGAAGGACATGCTGTTTGCTGCCTATCCCATTGGTCAAAGAATTTTGACTGGCGGGATGCAAGAGGAAGGCTTTCTCTCAGTGGTGGGATTCAAAAAAATTTACTACCGGTTCTGTGGGTGTGGCTTGGTGGGCGTGGCTTGGTGGGTGTGAAAGGCGAAGGATACTGTAAAATCTCCATTCCCTCCCCACTCCAGGGGAAGATTACTGTGAAATCCCCATTTCTTCCCGATCAGCTGGGACTCAGGAGGCAGAGAATAGATGGGGGTGGGGCTAGTCAGAGATGGTATTTACCGGTTCTCCGAACTACTCAAAATTTCCGCTACTGGTTCTCCAGAACTTTTCAAAAACTGCTGAATACCATCTCTGCTTTTTCTGCTGCTGCTGCTTTCACCCTTTGGAACATCTGACCTTCAGAATTGAGGCAAACCTCAATTGTTGGTTCTCTGGAAGAATGTTAAGACCTGGCTTTGCTAATTAGCATGGGGTGTGTTGCAACCCTGGGGGTGGCTGACAGGGGTGAAATCTACTTACGTTCCCAACTGGTTCGGAAGTGCATGCGCTGCGCGTATGCTTGGACCCTCTGCACATGCGCAAACCCTTCTGCACATGCACAGAGGGTAAAAAACAGGTTACTTCCTGGTTAAAACCAGAAAGCAACAACGACCGGGCAGGTGGGTGGAGCCTCGCGCCGCCATCGCTACCGGTTCTCCGAACCACTGGCTGCCATCACTACCAGTTCAGCTGAACCGGTCCGAACCAGGAACATTTCACCCCTGGGTGGCTGGTGGCTTGAGGGCACTGCTGCTTCTGCTTCTGCCTTATTAACTCTTTTAGCGTTCTGATTTTTTTAAATTCTGGTTTTCACTTTTAACTGGTAAATTTTAACTTTCTTCTTAACTTGGTTTTTTTTAAATCTGAGCTGTTCCTCGTATAGATATATTAATGTTGTTCTAAACCATCCAGAGTCCCTTGGGTGAGGTTGGCGGTGTAGGAATTTAATAATAAAAGTAAGTAATTAATAAATAAATACATCTCAGCCACACTTTGCTGGGATCAAACCAAGCTAGGGACAATTTGAGAATTGCTGCTGTCATCTGCATGCTTCACATACCTCTTCCAAGGTAGTCTCAGAAATGCCATAGCTGGAAATACCCAGGTCAGAGAGGCGGTCATCGATCTCATGAAACAGCTCCACAAAAGCTCCTTCTCGGGCAGCTTCATAGGGCAAAACATAACTTAACTCGTGGCCAATGTCCTCCACTAGCTTTGCTTCTGGAACGTGCTTCATAATCATATTAGAAATTGCAGATACATCTAGAAGAATGCAAGAAGTCATCAGATTCTGCCGTTGCCACTGTTGCTTTATGCTGTACCAACTAAATATAATCTTTTCGTTATCAGGTATTGCTAATGATCAAAGTGCTTATCATGGGGAGTTGAAGCAATATAAGATAACGGCTACTTCAGCTGTCTGCTATCTGCTGTTCGGCAATTCAAATCTCACCAGGCTCAAGGTTGACTCAGCCTTCCATCCTTCCGAGGTGGGTAAAAATGAGGACCCAGATTGTTGGGGGCAATATGCTGACTCTGTAAACCGCTTAGAGAGGGCTGTAAAAGCACTATGAAGCGGTATATGAGTCTAAGTGCTACTGCTATTACTATTGCTATTTCCATGAATAGAAGGGCTTCCCCTGTCCATGGAAAGATTCTCAAGTAACAGAGAAAGTTCCCTTGGGCCATGAGTAGAGGGGGTGCTACCTATGTTCTTCCCAGATCTATTCTAAGGGGTGAGGCCCTCTCTAAAAGAGCAGGTATTGTGAGATGTAGGAGGAGAGAAGAATCCCACCACCACATTAACCATCAATAAAAGGCAACTGCCAGAAGCAAAGCCTAAGTTTTTAACCCACCTTGCTTAGACTAATAGTCTATCAATGCTGCAGACTTTGGACTATTTTTTTTAAATGCCAAGAAAATTAATATCAAAATTCTATCACAATGGGGATTAAGAACTCCCGATCTAGCCAAACAAAGTGCAGAAATTCAGTACGCAAGAAACAACCTTACCTATTGTTGGGGTGTCACTTTCATGGTCACTCCCAAGGCCTGCATCAGAACTACTCTGCGAAACACTGTCATCCTAATCACAGAAGAAAAGGCAATTGAAAGATCTTTTAGCTCAAGTAGATCAGGAGGAAGTACATTTTAAGAACACTGCAACTCTGACACAAGAGCAACCAAGGCAGGCATTGAAATCAAATCAATCAGAAATCGGAATATTGTTATGTCTTTAGACCGTGCCATTGTGCTCCTGAATATTTTGTATGATTATAGACCCCAAGAAAGAAGTTATCATAGTTCAGAAGCCTCATCTATTTAGATTGTTTTAGACCGCACTAGCAACATCTCCTACCTTTTTCAGGTAAGATATTGTGCTGCTGCTGTTTCTACAGGAGCTGAGTGAGGAATCCACATCCTTCTTGACTAAGGTCAGGTAGTATCCTGTGCCCAGCTGGTTCTTCAGGAATAATGAAGAGCCAACGCAACAAAGTTTGCCATTAGATATGATGGCAATTCGGTCTCCAAGGATGTCTGCCTCATCCATGTGGTGGGTGGAGAGAATGATAGTGCGACCTACAATTCAAAAGAAACACGCACGTATTAGGGAAGCTTAGTGATCATGTGGTTTCTGTTTTCCTTACATGGGCAAGCAACAGCTTGGAGACGATAAATGAACACCAGGTAAATAGGAGCAAATTAACTTTCCACACAGCCATAGTGGTCCCATGCTTGTCCAAAGAGTCTTGTAGATGTTCTTACAAAAGCCATAGCTAGAAGATATAGAAGATCAACATCTGCCATTCTAGCTGGCTGAAATCTGATGTCAATGTTATTATTGCCCATTAATTAAAGCATAGAAATGTTGTCAGTAGCATCAAGTTCTTTCTCCTATGCACAACTTTACAAATAACTGAAGGTTCAACTGGAGGACCACAGCCTATTCAAACACCACTTCATAAGGAACATCCTTAGCTCAGTGGAAGAGAACACATGTAGCATTGCAGAAAACCTTAGCATCTCTAGTTTAAAAGATTGCAGATTGTTGGGCTGGGAGACACCTTAACTTGAAACATCAGACAAGTAATACGGCTAGATTGTTCTGACCAAAATGTTAGCAAGACTAAAGGTTTCATCTGGAAGATCTTGAAGAGCCATCTTAGGCTTAGTTTAAGCCAGGGGTCTCAAAGTCAAGGTCCATGGGCTGAATCCGACCTGCAGGGTGCTTAGATCTGGCCCACAGGCCGCTTTGGAAACAGCGAAGGACTGGCCCGCGGTGCCTCTGCCAGTGAAAATGGAGCTTGGGAGGGCCGCATGTGGCCCTCCCAAACTCTGTTTTCGGCCGTGACAACCCCCTGCTGACCTCAGTGAAAATGGAGCTGGGGGGGGCATGCACGGCTCCCTCGAGCTCCATTTTCGCTGGCAGAGGGTGGTAGGAAGCTGTCACAGTCAAAAACGGATTCGTGAGCCAATTTTCACTGGCAGAGCACTCGGGCCACCACAGACGCCCCGACACGAGTGATATCAAGCTGGCCATGCCCTCCCCGACACCCCCCCGCCCGAGGTCAAACACAAATCAAATTTGACACCCTTGGTTTAAGCCATTTTAGGTATGCCCAATCTTCTTCTGCACATAAATCTTTGGCAAACACACCTTGAGAGTTCAAATACAGTTACGTTAAGTGGAATATTGAATGAAAATAGTGAATTTCTTATTGCGTATAATTAAGTGTATCATTCTTGCATACAAAAAAGCAAACAAAAATACCATATATAGAATTACATTGTATAGAATCAGATCACTGTCTGAGCAAACATAATACTGTATACATTAGATAGCAATTGCTTTCTGGGGTTTCAGATAGGACTCTTTCCTAGCTCAAAATGGAGATAACAGAAATTGAAGTAGGAACCTTCTGCATGTAAGGTAGGTGCTTTGCCACTAAACCTCTGCTCTTTTCTATATAAAATGTTTGCTTCCGACAATCATCATCCAATATAAGCATGCAAAGTTTCATTGCTCCGCAAGACAAAAGAATACCTTGTCGATATTTCAAGAGCAACTCCCAGATTCCTCTTCGGGAATACGGATCCACTCCAGCCGTTGGCTCATCAAGAATGACAACTTTAGAACCACCTACAAAGGCCAGAGCTATTGAAAGTTTTCTCTGCATGCCACCTAGGAGACAAGTTTGGACAGATTTAGGCTCTCTGGGGATAATTTAATGTTTAATGCTTTTATATTCTTACAACAATTCCTTTATATGTGCATAGTTTCATCTAATCGTTGTACACAGCTTTTCATGAGATGGGTGACCATGGTTAAATTTGATTAACAAATAAATATGAAGAACTAACCATCATGCGCTTAGGTGAATATATCCTAATGGGTAACCAATGGGCAGGCATGTTATAACTGAAATAGTCTTTCCCAATTAACTATCCTTAACTATCCTTCAGATAAGCTACACCACCACTAATTATTATATAATTTGAGGAAGGACACATCCATGCCTTTAGGAGACATATATATATATATAATTTCCAGACTGACACCATTGGATTTTACTTGCCATTCTTTAGCAATGATTTCTCAAATATGAATGGGCCATCTTGAAATGAGACCTTGGTTTTCTTTTCCTTTAATTCATTAAATTCCTCAAGGAAGATCCTGTAAATCACAGGATGTAGAGGAGAAGAACAATTTTCTTCTCCAAATTTTTCTGACCATCCAGGAGGAATCTTGATGTTTGCTGCTAACCGAGACCATCCTCCATGCTTTTTTCTTCCCATTTGCTTCTCCATCTAACCACCCACAATAAATAGAACGTTGTGTACAAAGATGTACAACATCCCTCAAGAGTTTAGAAAGTCCCCTTGTAGCTTACAAAAGAAGAGCAATGAGAGCTCTCAATTCTACAGATATGTAGATAAGCAAAACTAAATAACTGAATAATAGCAATTTACCAGAGAGTTGGTTTGTCTTAGATTTGAGTTTGTGAGGCAAGCCAACATCTGTAGCCATTTGTTCCATTTCCTTTTTCACCAAGTTTTTCGGCAGCCCCTTCAGGCGTGCGTAAAACCAAATATGTTCTTCCACCGTCAGCCTAGACAAAAGGGAGAAATGGATGAGAAATGAGACAGTGTGTGTGTGTGTGTGTGTGTGTGTGTGTGTGTGTGTGTGGTCTCGTTCTGTTAATTTATTTTTAGAATTGAGGCTATGCCTAGGATAGGCCATTTTCACATTTATAGTTTCGATACCCAGCCATAGTTGATATGATATAAAATCTGAGGACTAGATGTTTTAGAATACCGGTAAGTGGGGGAAATTAAAAGTCCATCTATACACAGATCAAAGAAGGTTTCTTACAGCTTCTCAGACCATTTATTATCTATCTTAATATTTCCTAATCAGTCCTCTCTCAGACAGATGCTTTTCTTCCTTGACTGCAGCTTCTAGAAGACCCATCAACTTGGATACAATAAGGATATACTAATGGAGATAATGGAGCATTAGGAGGGCGCGGTTGTTTTATTTATTTATTAGATTTTTGTCCTGCCTTTATTACTTCAAAAGTAATGTAAGGCGATGAACATACTGTATATAATACTCCTTCGTCTTCCAATGTTCACCACAACAGCAAACTTGTGAGGTAGGTTGAGCTGAGAGAGAGAGAGAGTGAGTGACTGGCCCAGAGTCACCCAGCTGGCTTTCATGTCCAAGGTAGAACTAGAATAGTCTCCTCCCCTTCCCTGCTCTCCTCTCTCTTATACAAGGTTTTAAGCACAATACAAATATGTATAGGGAGCACGACTGAAGGGTTACAGGAGACAAAGCCATTTTAAGAAAATTGTATCACTTGGGGTGAATGCTTATAACTTTTGAGCATCTGGGGGAATCAGAGCATCTGAAGAAAGTTGCCAACAATCTCATTTAGTTACACAGTCAGCAAATGAAAACAAAAGGGCTCTATCTTGTAAATATAAATGAGTTCTTGCACAACACTCTCTTTGCCAAGAGAAAAAAAAATTGTTATTCCTCCCCTTCACTTACCATGCTTCAGTGGGCAGTAAATCTATTTACAGGGAGCAAATGGGGCTGACACAACAAAAAAAGCCAAATTATGGCTTATCAATTCATTAATCCTGCCTGCTAATATTCCCTACAAGCAGATACATCTAATCATCCATGGACGGTGATATCAGATAATTGTGTAATATACAGCATAAATCATGATTGGAGGATTGTTCCTCTCAAAATAAAGCAAAATAAAGCTGAAGCCACTGCTTAGTCTTGCCCTTTATCTTCTGGTTTCTTCCAAAAGTTCCAAGCACTGGTATTTACAGAAAACAATAAACGTACTACAGATGAAACTACCCATGATTTATTGTCTGGACCCAGTTCCAGGAACAGTCAGTAAAAACAACCTAAACATGCATTAGAAAGCCTTTATTTACTGTGTCACAACACAGTACACAACTGTTCTGTTTGGAAAAAAATGTGATTCTGGTATGTTTTCTATTTAGTGCCATTCCTACCTAAATATTCCATCATGTTTTTTCTGAAGCCGTTTAAGAATTTGAGGACATTTTTGAAGCAAAGCAATGCATCCTAGAAAACAGGGGTCTCCAATCTTGGCATCTTTAAGCCTGATGAACTTCAACCCCCAGAATTCTGGGAGTTGAAGTCCACCAGGCTTAAAGTTGCCAAGGTTGGAGACCCCTGCTACAGAACATGAACTTGGTGAACTAGCCAACATTAACACAGTTATTCATATAGCAATAGCACTTAGACTTATATACAATCCCATAGTGCTTTACAGCACTCTCTCAGTGGTTTATGGTGTCAGCATATTGCCCCCAACAATCTGGGTCCTCATTTTACCAACCTCATAAGGATGGAAGGCTGAGTCAATCTCGAGCCCGTCAGGATTGAATTCTAGACCATGAACAGTTAGCCTGCAATACGACTACCAGACATATGGGCATATGTATACTCTCTCCCCACCACCATCATCTCCCATCATAATCCTATGCATTTTCCTAACGAGGAAATAAATGAGTAGATATACAAGGGAATTGTGATTGGTAATGTGACTCACTCATCAAATAAGACATTGTGTTGAGGACAAACACCCAGATTCTTCCGGATAGTGCTGAGTTCAGATCGGATATCTTTACCCAGGATGAAGGCTGTGCCTGAGGTTGGGGGGAATAAGCCAGTCAAAATGGACCTAAACATAATAGAGAAGGAGTTAGTTTCCAACCTGACAGAGTCAACTATGTATCAAGATGTCATTTCTTTTTCTTTAACAAATTTCCCTCTTACATTGTGGTAGTTTTTCCTGCTCCATTGTGTCCTAAGAAGGAGGTAATTTGCCCTTCATAGAAATTCAGTGTAAGACCATCTATAGCCAGCTTCTTGCCATCACGGTAAACTTTCACCAAGTTCTTAATGGACACTCCAAGAGGGAGATGGCTTGGTTCTTCTTCCATACAAACTATAAAAAGAGAAAGGAAATCCAACTAAGCAAGTAATCAGATTTTTATTGGTATTGTGTGCGATCATTTTGTAGGTAGTAAACATAATAGAGATCATAGGGCACATTGGGATATGATGTAGATGTAGCCACTTTATGAATCCCGGGTTATATGATTGTAGGCAATCTAACTGATCCCAAGTAGAACTATGAAATGTCAGAAGATTTCCATCCCAAAAAAAAAAAAAATCTGGGAAGAATTATCTGACCTAGGTTTGATCAAATATGTTATTGTTTCTAAACAGGCCTTGGTTAGGTTTATTTTGGCATCAACGCTACAGCTTAAGATCCAATCATGTTTTTGCAGGGTTAGTCCATGTTCCATCAGATCCAACCTTTCTGAATTGCAAGAAATCTTGCAATTACTCCTTAAGGACCCCTCTTCCTGAGAAAAATCCTCTATGTCTCATATTGTGACTACATCACTAATGAAGAGGTACTGCAATGATCAGATTTAGAACACCCATTGAGAACTGTGAATGAACGTCAAATGTTGGTCATATCTTATGTATGCCTAAAGACAGGCATCCAAAAATGGCACTATGTTGGGATACCTCCTGGAGGAAAGAGGAAACAAAATCGGCCTCGAAAAACTCAGCAAACATTAAAGGTAGATCTTAAGATCATTAGTGTCCCTTGGAACGATGCCAAAGATGATGTGAAAGATCAGAACTGCTGGAAAATACTTGCTGCTTAATGTGCTCTGCACAGGATGTAATGATGATGATGATGACCCCCTTAGCAAGCATCTAAGATTACAAATAAGTCACTTACTTTCTGAGGATCCTGCAGCATGAGAAGGGAGCCACTGTCCCCCAGATTCCTCACCAAACCAATAGGATTTCATAAAGGGGAAGTACCAAGGTCTGGGAATGCCGTATTGACCTAAACAGAATGCAAAGAACTTTTCATGAAACCAAAGAATTGGCCACAGCATTTGAGACATGAAAAGGTGCTTTTGAAATGGCTGAACCACATTCTAGAACTAGATCACAAGTTCTAGCCACATCAACCTATTTGATTGGGAAGCGATACATACAGTATATGATTTAACCCTAAGTACTAAAACTGCTTGAAACAGATTCTAGGTTCTTTCCATTTGTAAATCACATATACAAATGTATTCTTTTAACCGGCACACACATTTGTTTTGATTGCCTTCTAGAATTTCTACTTGTAACCCTGTAGTTCAATTTACTTTATTTCCATTTATTAAGGTGCAGACTGGATGATATAGTGGGATTCTTTGTATCTCTACAGTAAGATCAATTCAGAAAGACTCTGAATGTGTGCAGTTAATTTTTCTAGAAATATATCCAGCAGGCAACATTGAAAGCAGTATATAACATTGCTGTAAATGTATCCTTCAAAAAAGATTTTCTGATCTGAACTAACTGTTAAAATACCTTCGCTTACGATTTGAGAAATCTGCTTACAAGTTTAGAGCCTCTGCATATTCAACTCTGAATATGGTGGCTAGGGCCTGGTGGCTCAGCAGACTGATAGCATTGTGATTAACACCAGCTGTCTGCAATTACTGTAAGTTCAAATCTCACCAGGTTCAAGGTTGACTCAGCCTTCCATCCTTTCTAAGGTAGGTAAATTGAGGATCCAGTTTGTGGGGGCAATAAGCTGACTTTGTATAAATATACAAAAAAGTATGAAAGCTATTGCTTAATGCATTGTAAGCCACCCTGAGTCTCCGGAGAAGGGCAGCATATAAATCAAATTAAAAAAAAAAAACCTCTGAGTAAAGTAATCACACAATTAAGGCTTTATACATAGGAAGGCAGACTTCCCATATCTAGGGATTGTTCCTGTCTGGTGTTCTCCACAATACTTGAGACCTTTGAAACCATTTCTGCAACTGAACCAATTAGTCCGGATTTTTGCTACTTCTCCAGTGGAAATGTTATGAAGTCAGTATTGCAGAATGGGCACTTCTCATTATGGGAATTCTCTTCTGATCATGATTCCTTAGATCAACCCTCCCATCCACACTTCCTGAAAGACTTGAGATGCTTTTATTTCTTGCCACTGGTTTTCTGCTTTCTCCCCTGCAGAGGAGCAGCTATTCTCCCCATCCTCCACAGGACAGTGGCTTTTACTGGGACAAGTCGTTTTACTGGGAGACGAAGATGGGGCTGTAGAAACTAACAGGAGGAGGAGGAAGAGGAAGAGGAAAAGAAAGAGGAGGAGGAGGAGGAAGTGGAAGAGGAAGAGGAAAAGAGAAGGAGAAGGAAAAGGATTACTCACCTGGAAAAACAGACTCAATGTACCAAGTCATAGTGCCATACAACAAGCTATCCAGCACCATCATGAACACAGATAGGGTAAAGTTGAAGTTATCTTTTTCCACAGGGCTTTCAAAGAAACTGTCCCACTGCAATCCAGTCCCCTGTTCTTCAAACAGGGAAACATACTCGCAGCCAAATCCAAAGGCAACAGGAGAAAGTAGGCTCTGGTGAAGAAAGGCCACCATTTAGTACTCCTATTACATTTACTATTTACGTTTTTCAATGTGAGGAAAGTCAATGGGTCAGATTAGACCAGCAACTGTTACATATACTAAGTAAAAGGGACCCAAAGTACTCTTGGTAGCTTTGTCCCAATCATGTCTCTTTGCTCCTAGGGTTGATGGGAAGGTTTCACAGAAAAATATTTTCCATGCAGAGGGCAGTAAATATTATGACTACCACTTCCAGTCAGAGATCAAAAAAATAGATTAAAGTGCATTGGGAATCCATGTAATTTGGTGGATCTAAAAGCTTTACAAAGAGTTGAAATGTAACTTAGATTTTGTTACACATTAATCATAGATTTAAGGAACCAGTATTAAAAAATACTCAGAAAAATCTCTTCAATTACAGCCCTCCCAACTTTCCAGAAGTACATGGCTAAAATTTTCCATCCGAGTTGCAGAAATGAGAATCATTGTTCTAAGCATCTTAAAAATACCAGACTCTGAGAAATTTCTTTTGCTTAACCCACAACAAAAAGGTTTGCCTGCTTACTGCCAATACTCACTGCAAACATTCTGACAGAGAAACCGATATAATTCTGCCAGGCTTCACATAAGACATAAGGCAAATAAAGAGTAAAATAGATAATTCCTCCACAAGCAGCTGCTATGTTGGCCCTGGAGAAGAAGGTGCTGATGAGGAAGCACTGTGAGATGGTTACTACACCAAAGAGAGACAGGAAGACGAAAATCAAAGTGGGGTCACTGTAGGGCAGCAAGTTTCCTTTCTGGATAAAAAAGAAGAGAAAGAGGAAATAAATTTGTGTTGCACCAAACACTGTACTGTTAAAAAAAAAAATACAACCGCTACAAATGGCTGGAGAGCTTTGTTGAGTATACTTTCAACATCCAAGTTCCGTTTTCCCCCCAGGTAAGAGGTGAAGACTAGTGACCTTGCACCATCCATATTCTTCTACAGACATGCTAGATGGCTACCCCGATCTGTTACTGACTATCTTTTTCATTGTCATTTTCCAAGAATTCATAGAAATATTTTGGACGTATCCAACTTTGTGACACATGCTTGAGCAAAGGCCAGGATCACACACTACACTGAGCCATAATATGATCTGGTTGGTTCTGACTTCCCATGTTGTGTAAAATATCTGAATTCAGCTAAAGTTTTAGCCAAGGCTAATCCTCTCTATCAATGCCTGGAGAACACTGGGAGCTGAAGTCCGTACTTCTTCAGGTTCCCAAGATTGAGAGAAACTGGTATTGAGGAAATAGATTCATGTTCTACATCACACTTCCAGGCCAACACCTTCTAGATAGGTTGGGCTATTCCTATAACCTTGCACCATAATTGCCCTTTGCCAACTGAGAATTAGATTGGCTAGTTGTCTACTGTATTCTCAGTGTGCAAGTTTGGAGAAGAGTTCTTAATATTTTTTAACCACAACATTAATCCATCAAGAAAGGAGGGGGGAAAAGTGAAGCCAGTCTCACCTTAAGGATGAATGTCAGAAGCCCTGCGCTCATGAGAATGGGGATGAAGCTACTAATGAACCAGCTAAGCCAGAGGATGCCATTGTTGAGGCCCATGATCCTCATTGTCTCTTTCAGCCGAGCTTCCTTCTCATATACAATCCCCTTGATGATCACCGCTACTGAGTAGATCCATGCTAAAGTCATGAAAAGAGGCATTGACCGGCTCAAGATAAGCAAGAATCTAGAAAGGGAACAGCAGGCAAACAAAGGTTTGGGGGGATATTTTCAGAGGCAGCTGCTATTATTTCTAAAGACTCTTGGACCCAGGGAATAAAAAATATCCTAGGAAGCATCCTTGTCACCATCTTGAAGGTACCTGCTTCCTTAGAGATGGCTGAAGGAGGCTTCTTACAGCACCTTCCCCTCGGAGGACTGAACTAGGGACTTTTTAAAGCAGAAAGTCTTATTATATCCTCCAGCTAAGATAAGCGTAATTTTAAATTTGTCACAATATAGCTGGTTCTACATTAGGGCGGAATCAGAAATATCAACAGGATATTTATCTAATAAGTCTTACGTGTCGTCCACGTAACATGGATAAGGCATCTGCTGAACATAGACGCCAGTTTTCTTCTCGGAGCCTGTCAAAGTCCGGATGATTGCTTGCTCTATTACATCCTGCAAGTAAGTGAAGCCTCCCCAAATGTAGCGCATGTCGTCAAAAGGATCAGCTCGAGGACCTGGGTCCCAGAATCTGCAAGAACAGAAAAGAACAATTTTACTGCTGTGGTGATTGTGAATTAAAGTTCTCAAGTCTAAGACTACAGTCAGAGTCTTAACAAAGCTGCTTCAAAGGATGCTCACTTGTCCTTAATTTTGTTGGTCCTTTCCACACTGTCAATATCCATCCGTATCTTATACTTGACATGATGGGGCAAATCCACACTCTTAGGAGCAATTTCAGGGAAAATTATGCCAGCCCAGAATCGTCTCTGGTCCAGCAATTCCATGGATTTGCTGACAAGCCACCCTTCATCAGGCACAGCTTCCAACTTGTTCAAATTGACGCACTGAAATGGCAACCAAGAATTGAGTTAGAAGCTGAAGTTTATTTGGGGGGGGGGGCAGGGGAGGGGGGGATGGAAAACCAAAATGTCATTTTTTTTCCTAGGAAGTGATTTTCTAACTCTGATTCGGGGTGAATCTTTGTTTATTTTGCTGTATATCATAGTTGGTGGTGCTTAGAGAGCCTTCGTTAAAAGCATTTTTCTAGAAACGAGCCTGTTTTCATGTCATTTTAGTCAAAAGTCCTATTTGACTTCTCACAACTTAATTTGAAGAGTAGGAAACTTTCCAGACATTTCAGACTGCAGTTTCTAAAATATTAAGACAAAATGATCAATAGTTATATCAATAATCAAAGCTGGAATCCAAAACCTATAAGGAGCCAGGTGGTCTAACCTATTGTCAACAATTCTGACTATAGGTTCGTGCCTTTCATATACACCACTTTTCCTGCACAAAACAAAACAAAGAATTCCAGGGATCTGGTTTGGGTCCCTTGAACAATTGATGTGACAGAGCACTCATTGGTTACTATTCTCCCTTTAGGAGCCTTAATCTCTCTGTGAGAGACAGATAAGTATCAATAAAAGAGATTGTTTACAGCTCAGGGTTGAAATGAGGGGTCCTTGGTGCTCTCTGAGCCTGGTTGTTTCTTCACAGGCGTTTCATTATCCAAACTAGGTAACAACATCAGTCCTAGGATTGATAATGTTACCTAGTTTGATAATGAATTGACTGTAAGAAAACAACCAAGCTCAGACCCCTCACAGATAAGTAAGGATCACAGATAACTTCCAGGCTAACAAAAATAAATAAAATAAATAAAACTCAAAGCAAACCCCCCCCCCAAAAACTCAACTACCACCATAATCCCTAATTCAAAAATTCATTGTACATATCTTTGGAAACCGTTTCCCTTCCTTTCCTCTTCCACAAATCACTATTTACTTTGGAATCAATCATCCTAACAAATACAGAAAATAAAATAAATAATCCTCCATCAAGAATAGGAGACTCACTTCCATAAAATGGGAAATAGTCATAATGGTTCGATCGGTTTCATTGAATGCATCCCTCCAGGTATAAATAGAGTCATTCACCGGACCAACATCCTCAGGGTGTTTTGCCAGGAATTGGGCAACCTCCTCCCTGCTCCATCTTGAACCGACCAAGTATTGGTTCCAAAGGTACTCACTCTTCAGCAAAACCTACAGTAACCAAAAGAGCAAAAGGGTTTAGTTAAACTCGCCCTGAAAAGAGGGGAAAAAAGAAAAGTTTTGCCATTCATTCATTCATTCATTCCACTTGAAAGTGCAGCTTGTTGTTAAAGAATAGGGAATCTAAACTTCTGTAAGCTATGATATAGCAGTTTGCTATATAAGGAGAAAACAACAAAACTGCTATTTCTACCAATGTTTATCAATAACTTGGAACAGATGTTCACAGCAACCTTCCCCAGCCTATTAAAAGTCTTAGGGCAATGTGGTTCCAGGGAATGGAGGCAGGGAATGATGGGGAATTGCACTCCAATATGTTCGCCAGATAGAGAAGACTGTTGGCATGCAGAAACCCAATAGGAATTTTCATTTCTTTTTATGGCTGGGAAAACTGCTTGTAATTTAATTCTCCTCTGGTCTTTTCCTAAGAACTTAGATTATTGGAAAACCTGGAATATTGGTTAGATCAGTTGCCAATTTTGTTTCCTTTCCACCGTTCCTCAACCTGCCATGTTGACTGCCTCATGAATCTTAGTAAGTAAAACATTTATGCAGGAGATCTGGAGCGAGGTCTTCACAGGACTCCTTATGAATCACAGGAACCTTGTACACTTATGGGATGAGGTAAAAATCAGTGTCTTTTATCGCACCCTCATCCGTGAAGGTTCAGGGCATGCTTTCAATGCTGGATCCACCAGGTGGCAATCTCGCATAAGATCTCCAGAAAACCAGGTCGCATTGAACAAAGTAAACAAACATTTCTGAAGCCAGAAGAACAGGATGGAAAAGAAGAAATTGTTTCCATTTGTATGACCAAAATGGGTCAATGGTGGTTTTTTTTTTTTTTCCTTTCTAAAAGCTTAGGATGCAGACTGGCCATTTCAATCCTTGTGTACGGACAGGGCCGGATTTTCCTATAGGCTAACTAGGCTTCAGCCTAGGGCCTCAAGATCAAGAGGGGCCTACATTCAAATTGTTAGCAAAATTAAAATTACACTTTCACTATAGGTGAAAGGGCCTCATAAGTGGAATAGCCTAGGGCCTCTTTTCATCTAAATCCGGCCCTGTGTACGGAGTTAAATTGCTAAGAATATTCATGGAGCAGTTCTTCCATCTTTACCTAGAAACAAGTCCTGCTCAATTCTTAGGTACCTGGGTACACAATTACAACTCAGTTTTACAACAAAATTACAACCAGTTTTTCCAGGACTGGTTACAAGTGCCACAGTTTGTTTCTGCCAGCTAAAAACACCACTGTCAAATTGCGATTCCATGCTGGCAGAATAAAGTCTGAAGTGGCTTGATAACTGTGCTGTCCTCATGGGATGCATAAGTAATATAAGTAACTAACAGAATTGGAAGGGATCTTGGAGGTCATCTAGTCCAACCCCCTGCTCAAGGAGGAGACCTGTACTAGGGATTCGAACCGCCAAACTGCCAGCCTTTCTGATCGACAAGCTCAGTGTCTTAGCCATTGAGCCACCTAGTCAGTCAGCCTAAGATAAGCTTGCCTCCCTTCCTCACCTCGAACTGTAACCTCTTTTGCATGGCCACTGTACCTACTATCTCACTTTTACACCGTGTTCCAGATAGTCCTCAACTTACAACCATAAATGAGCTCAGAATTACGGTCATAAGTCATGCTAAATGTGTCAGCAAGTGACTGCACTCAATTTTACAAACTTTTTGTGGCGGTTGTTAAGCAAATGCCATGGTTCTTACATGAATTTGGCTGCCACAGGCTTCTTGACACAAACATATAAATAAACCAAAAATGTCGCAAATTGCAATTGCGTGACCGTGGAATGCTGCAGATCATTCTGCAGTGGTGGAACTGGTAGTAAAACCGGTGGGAGGCTCCGCCCACCGACCCCAATTTCATCAAAACACTTCTGCGCATGCGCAGAAGAGTGCACGCGGCCCCGCTGCGAACTGGTAGTAAAGGTAAGTAGAACCTGCTGCAGATGGCCATAAATGCAGGCTGGTTGCTGAATATCTAAGTGTGATCACATGACTGTATGGGAGGGGGGAATTGTCCATCAGAACTTTAAATCCAGGTCACAAGTAGCTCGGGGGGGGAGTGTCTGTTGTAACGTTAAATGGTTGCTAAGCAATCAGTCGTAAGTTGAGGACTACCTGTAGTTTTGCACTGTTTTGGTTTTGGACAAATCCAGCTCCACTTTCTGTTTCTTTTTACTTTTCCTGCTTTTATTTTAGGGTTCACATAGAACTCCCCCGAGACTCGAATATTGAATTAGAAGGCAAATTGATTACATGGCATTTGCAGAAGGTCCCCGACATCGACAAAAAGCCTTTGAGCAGTTGGGGACCTTTTTATTTCTCTCTTCTGGGTTCCTCAACTTTACCCTTCATTTCTTTGTGAAATTATCCTTTTTCACAGACAGAAAGCTATTGGTGTCTAGCAGGGATTGCAAGTGAAAAACAAGTGAACTTGGAAGGTCCTAGGACTGCATATAGTTAAATAGCCTATTATGTTTTTTAAGGTTAAAAAAAAAATCTAACAGTGAGAGCAACTGCTAGAAAAGAATGGCTGCCAGCAAACAAAGGGAAAGCAGTATGACTGGTTATATTTACTCCAGTTGTGAAAACATCCCAAAACCAGGTCACATTAACCTGGTTGTCCTGAAGATGCTGGAAAGCAGTACAGATTTTACATACTTTGCCCTGATAATTTCAGCGGGAACAACTAAAGCCAGAACATGAAGTGACAACCAAAGACTGACAATTATGTCCTGGTCTTGAAACTAGAAACTAAAATCAAGGTCAAGTGATGAAGGAATACTATGAGACTAAGCAGGCAGCAATCAGAACCAAGAACCTAAATTTTCAATAGAATAAAACCTGTACAGATTTTGCACTGAAGATAAGAAGAACAGGGGACAGCAATAAGAAAGTGAACAAGAAATAAAGAAAAGAATTCCAAGTAAGTTTTTTTTTAATAACTAAAAGCCAGCATGGGTTTGTTAAAAACAGATCATGCCAAACCAATTTTATTTCATTCTTTGACAAAATGACTGAATTAGTAGACTAGCGAAATGCTGTGGACATAATAAACTTCAGCAAGGCATTCGACACAGTAGACTACAACCTACTTCTTGATAAGCTAGAAAAATGTGGATAGACAGCATCACCACCAGACGGATTTGTAACTGGCTGACAAACCATACTCAATGAGTTGTCCTTAATGGTACTACATCTACATGGAGGGAAGTAAGGGAGGGGGTAACACAAGGTTCCGTCCTAGACTCGGTATCTTCATAAATGACTTAGATGAGGGACTAGAAGGGGAACTCATCAAACCTGTAGATGACACTAAGCTAGTAGGAGTAGCCAACACACCTGAAGACAAGCTCAGGATCCAAAAAGATCTTGACAGACTTGAACAATGGCCCTATCCAACAACATGAAATTTAACATGGAGAAAAGCAAGGTTTTACACTTAGGAAGGAAAAACCAAAGGTACAAGTACAGTATAGATGAAACCTGGCTCAAAAACAGTAACTGTGAGAGGGACCTTGAAGTCCTAGTGGATGATCACTTAAATATGAGCCAGCAGTGTGCGGTAGCAACCAAAAAAGCTAATACAATCTTTGATTGTATAAACAGGGGCATAGAATCAAAATCATGTGAAGTATTATTAGCACTTTATAAAGCCGTAATAAGGCCATACCTGGAATACTGCATCCAGTTTTGGTCGCCACATTACAAAAAAGATGTTGAGACTTTGGAAAAAGTGTGAAGAAGAGCAACTAAGATGATTAAAGGCCTGGAGACTAAAACATATGAACTACGGTTGCAGGATTTGGGTTTGGCTAGTCTAAGAAAGGAACGACTAGGGAGGACATGATAGCAGTATTCCAGTATTTGAAAGGCTACCACAAAGAAAAGGGCATCAATTTATTTTCCAAAGCACCAGAGGGCAGGACAAGAAATAATGGATGGAAACTAATCAAGGTAAGAAGCAACCTGGAATTGAGGAGAAACTTCCTAACAGTGAGGACAATTAACCAGTGGAACAGCTTGCCGTCAGAAGTTGTAGGTGTTTCATCATTGGAGGTTTTTAAGAATCTGGACAGTCACTTGTATAAAATAGTATAGGGTCTTCCTGCTTGAGCAGGAGATAGGACTAGAAGACCTCCAAGGTCCCTTCCAGGTCTATTCTGATTGATTGGTTCTAAGCAGGTTCTGTTGGATTAAAATCATCTTTATAGATCTGCCATCTCTGTTTATATAATGCATGGATACTTTGCATAAAAAGTCTCATACAAAGATGGGAGTATATAAATTATAAATCAGCCAAAATCAGCTGGGTCACAAAATGAACAAGTCCTGAAATATCTGTGTGTGTGTGTGTGTGTGTGTGTGTGTGTGTGTGTGTGTGTGTGTGTATGCTGATATTTCAGGACTTGTTCATTTTGTGACCCAGAATGTCATTTCATCAATATACCATTTACAATTACAGCCTCTTCCCACTCTTAAAAGCTTCCCATCAGCTAGATGGCATCCATTCAAATGTGTATCTATTTTTGCGATTTAGGAGTGTTTTCCGTTTCTATGTTATCAGATTGCAGCTTTCTGTGACTAGGTGATTTTTCCCTGTTCTAGGTTTTGTTCTGGGTCTTATTTGATTTCTTGTATATTACAAGTGGTGTTTTATGGCTCCTCTGTCTTCATTTGTTAAATGATTCATGTGTTTAATGAATCCCTTAAAAAAAATCAGAGTCTTGGATTAAAGCCTTTTGTTTTACTACAAGGCTGCACAGCTGACTCCTCGGAGACAAGACTTCACCTCCCTCCCCCAGTTAAATGTGTGAGGAGCCACAACATGTGCTGATGCCCATTTGTCATCGCTGTCAAGCTGAGCAGAGGTAGGGAGCAGAAGGAAGATATAAACAACAGACAATATCCAGTGAGGAAAAAAAAGAAAACCTGGCCTGCATCTTGTCCAAACCATACCTTTATGTACAGTTTATGTTCCCAACGAACTCTAAAGCCACATCCTGTTGTGTGAGAGGATGCTGCACCCTAAGCACCTATCACAATTCCCCAACTGACTTTTGTGTCACTGCCAATTCTCTGGAAAGAGGCAGCCAGAGAGAGGTTTCCTGGAAAATGCTGTCCATATTTTGCCAATAGCGTATTGTTCTAATCACGTGCCTGGATTCCTCTCACCATTTTTTTTTCTTACAGTCTATGTGAATATCTTTTTCTTCAGGCTTGTCTTAACACTCAGCCAGTGTTAAGGTTAGATTCAAGACCAGACTATTTAGTTAAAATTCAGTGCACAGATGGCAACTGCTCTTTCCTCCCATATGTGTGAAGCTCTCATCCCATTACATCACACAGGCAGGAGAAAGAACACAAAAACTGACCCTTCCCCTTACTATAAATAGGGCTTGTATCTTACACTATGTCCTTGACTCTCTGCCTGCAAGGTTTCTAGTTCTAGCATCAGCCAGGAAAAGCTTGACAACTTGGCACTTCCCGGGTCTGTTAGGACTCTGCATTTGAACATCTTCAGCCAGCAGTGTCACAATTAAATAAAACCATTACATTGTCCATCTGTTTTAGATAAACTCTTAGATCCTTGGGAGAGGTACTTTAATCGGTGAAACATATGTCTTTTAGAAACACCAAAGAGTTATTTTTTCCCCCTCTTTTCCCAGAAAGCTTCACACAAGGAAGACCTACGAACCCAAAATCTCAAATCAAAGTCTGGCAGTCTGGCCATTAGAAAACACGGAGTCTCCAATACTAGACAGAAACGCTCATGAAAATTAAATGGAACGAAAGCCGTTTAGCAATATCCCAAGAATGAAACTTCAAATTATTTACTGCTCCGATCCCCTCTAGCTAATTAAATATCCTCTTGCTACAGTTGGGAAACTGGGGAATGCAAAAGAGAGGCCTGGGCTTGTTGCCCGCCTTACAGAGTTTGGGAAGTAATATCAGAGTAAGTGTTCCCTAGTGAAATGTATTTGTAGCTCCACTGAGCATAACAGAAAGTGAGGCTTGAATACCTCTCATTTTGCATACTTCTCAGCCGCATCCTTGGCAGATGTTCTTCATGCAGAATAGCCTGATTTATGGACCAGTCAGAATCTGTCTAATGTCCAACAAATCACCCCATTCGACACATGGCAACACAGCAGGGAGAGGCACTGTCTGTATAGCATTGCACTTTTCTTCTCTGTCCCAGGATACAATTATATTGCACAGGCAAGAAAGCTCCAGACAAAGGAGGTTTGGCAGAAAGAACCAGCTACTATACTCCGACACGGGCAGAAACAAACACTCAAGGCCAAATTGTCGATCACAATACGAAAATAAACAAACCTCTTGTAAAAATTTATTATCAGAGAGAAAAAAAGAGTTATGGCACACTGACCCGAATCAGATCCATCTCCTCATTTTCTTCCATGAAACTTTTGATTTTTGGTTTAATCTCTTCCCACATGCCTCCAAGTTCATGGAAGACACCTAGCTCTTGGAACGTCTTGTTGACCTGGAACAACAGCAAAAAAGGGTTTCAAAATCACTTAATGCAAAGTATTGGCTTTCAGATGTTTTCGTGCTCTAAGAAGTGATGTTTTACTGAGAAGAAGAAAAAGGAAGAAAGGAGACGCTTCAAAATTAATATCCTAATACATTCCAGATGTGATAGACAACAACCTCCATCACTCCTGGTAGTAGGGATAATAGATATCTGGGCATCAAGCAAAAGATAGCTTCTTAGGCTATGGAATTTAATAAGTGAGCTAGAAGCTTACAGAAGTTAATCAGCATTAAATATATGACTAGAATGGTCTAGGACAGTATACCGACATGAAATTTGTGAAAAGATGAAAAGAAATATTTGATTATTCATATTGTCACAGCTGCTAGACTCTCCTATGCCAGATATTGGAAAGAGAAAAGATGTCCAACCGAGGAACAGATAGTCAATAAAATATTGGAATGCGCAGAAATGTGCAGATTAACATATGTGTTAAACGGGAAGGAGGACTCAGAATTCTACACGATATGGGATCTGTGGTATAGGTGGTAAAAAAATAAATGCAAAAGTTAACTCTTATGAGGGACAATGTATAACTATTAACTAAATCTATATATTATTGTATCTTAACTTAATTGTAATTGATTTTATAAAAACCTATGTATAAATTCTATAATATTTATATAATTCATTAGATACCGCACCTGTAAATATACAATATGACTACACGTTGCCGAACCGTAAAGCTTGAATTGTAATACATTCTTTATTTAATAAAATTTCATTTTATTAAATTTTATTTAAAAAAAAAAAGAAAGAAATTTGTGAAAAGACTACCTGGGTATAGAATTTAGTCTGGCCTTTGGTCCTCAAGACTTTGAAAGGGACAATGTAGACCAGTCCATCGTGTCTGATCTCCCAAAAATAAAGTGGCCAAAACTAGATTGAAAGATGTCGTTTAACTTATGAACTCGACATGGGGCTGTCCTTGAAAACTGCCTGGTCTGATCTGGAATGCAGAGGCACATGCAACGCTGGGCAATCCTTTTGTTTGTTTATTTTACAGTAACTTACTCAGAAGGACTCTGGACAGCATTTACCAGAAAGGGGGAAAATAATAATAAAAAATGATCTAAATTAATGCGAAAAACAGAACCAAAATCAGAGACCCTGAGGATACATATCCTCAGTCAATAAGCTGCAGTCAACATACACTGAACTAAAACAGATTGAAACTTGTTTACTGAACTAGAATAAGGTAGGAGCTACGTGTACTTCTGTAGCAAAGATGTTCCATAAAGGCATCCACAATACCCTGTTGGACTATTGCTAAATCAAGCTCAGTTTGGCCTGCTCTGACTGGCAGCTCTCCAGCATTCTACTTAGGGCTAAGCAAAAAAAATCTCCAAATGTAGGAAGATGGGAGAGATCGTTATACTGGAAGTAAATTATAATAATTTACAACAATGAACTGAGGTGTTCCTATTTTCTGACTTCTGCTACAACAATCACTGATGTCACAGTTTCTCTCCAAGCTGTTGGCTGGGAGCTGTGCTTTTTCCCAACAATACTTCATCAAAATGACGCTAAGTCCTGAGGGAACAAAAGAAGGTGGCTCCAAAGAAGAATCTTGTTTCCATTAATACCTTCAGCAGCTAAGAAAGAAAGGTTTTAAAGGAAACTACAGCTTCTGCCACAACTAATAAAGCTTGTGAAAATTCAGTCTTTCTGATATAGGTAGCCCTCGACATACAATGGTTCATTTAATGACCATTCAAAATTACAACAGCACTGGAAAAAAGTGATCAATGACCATTTTTCACACTTACGACCACTGCGGCATCCCTATGGTCACGTGATCAAAATTCAGGCGCTTGGCAATTGGTTCATACTTATGACCGTTGCTGCGTCCCAAGGTCCTGTGATCCCCTTTTGTGACCTTTGGACAAGCAAAATCAATGGGGAAGCCAGATTCGCTTAACAACCGTGTCACTAACTCATCAACTGCAGTGAGTCACTTAACAACTGTAGCAAGAAAGGTCGTAAAATGGGCAAAATTCACTTAACAAATGTCTCACTTAGCAATAGAAATTTTGGGGTCAGTTGTGGTTGTATGTCAAAGACTATCTGTACAGCCTTGGAGCCTTTTCCGACTCTGCCCTTAGGCAGACATAAACACACCATTTCAAGATAAAGTCTCAACATTCAATCCAAAGTCAAGATAAAGTCTCAACATTCAATCTAAAGTTACAGCCTGAACTTCCAAACTGGAGATATTAGAGGCCAAAATCTGATTCCTTTTTTTTTTTTTTTCCGAGCCCTGACCTATCTCTGACTTTTCTATTCCTCTGGGATGGGTATCAGCAACCTGCGGCTCTGGAGCAGCATGTGGCTCTTTGGGCCCTCTACTGTGATCCCACCACTGACTGGCCCCGTCCCTCACCCTCCCTTCCCATTCACTCCTCGCCTGGCCTGAGAAGTAAGGGTGACGGCGGGGGGTGGAGAAGTGGTCAGGACAGAGACAGAGAGATATAGAGAGAGGGACAGAGAGAGAGACATAGAGAGATACAGAAAGGGGGGGAGAGAGGGAGAGAGGGGGAGAGGGGGGAGGAAGGGAGAGCAGCAGAGAAATAGATATATATATCAAAAGGGTTTTTTTGGTTCTCGGTGTTTTTTAACAACTGGTTCTCTGCCCTAATGACCAGCTGGGTAGGCATGGCGGGGGTGGTGGTGGTCATGTGACTGGTGAAAGTGAGTGACGTTGAGTTGGCCGCGCCCAGGTTTTGTGGCTCCCGGTGTTTTCTTTTCTGTGGGAAACGGGTCCAAATGGCTCTTTGAGTGTTTAAGGTTGCAGACCCTTGCTCTGGGACTTCAGTTGAGAACATTCAACAGCAGGAATACCAACCTGTCCCTTTGCTGGGTGGACAAGAAACAGGGCTAAAGTTCTTACCTCTGACATAATAGTCCTTGTTGCTGGCGTATCAGGGCTATACAGGACTTTTCCAACAAGCAAAGGCTTCAGGGCCCTCCAGATAATCCTGGAAAGTGGGTTGGATTCCAGTCTCTTCATTAAGCTATTGCAGAAAGGTGCTTTAAAAAAAAAATTAAAAAAATTGTGGATTGTAAATCCCATGCCCAGAACGTTCCCAGCTTGGAGAGCACACCCAGGTTAGTACAAAATTATCTGCCCTTTATTTCCTCTCTAGCTTCTTGCACGCCATCTTGAGATGGCAAGAGATGGTCCTCTTAATGATTTGCCAGACAGAAAACATTTACAGGTGTTCCTGGATTCAGGTTACTTCAGAGGTAGTATTCAGCAGGTTCTAACCAGTTCTGGAGAACTGGTAGCAGAAATTTTGAGTAGTTCGGAGAACCGGTAAATACCACCTCTGGCTGGCCCCACCACCATCTATTCTCTGCCTCCCGAATCCCAGCTGATTAGGAGGAAATGGGGATTTTGCAGTAACCTTCCCCTGGAGTGGGGAGGGAATGGAGATTTTACAGTATCCTTCCCCTGGAGTGGGGTGGGAATGGAGATTTTATAGTATCCTTCCCCTGCCATGCCCACCAAGCCACGTTCACTAAGCCATGCCCACCAAACCGTTAGTAAAAAAATTTGAATCTCACCACTGAGTTACTTACTAGTATAGTTATCATAGAAATCCACGGCATCGTCTTCAGAGCTGTTGCTTCCAAAGAATGCTTTGTAATTATGGTCTTCGTACCAGTTGAAGGACTTGATCTGCAAACCCCCTCCCTCAGGGTGGCCACAAACAATTCGAGATACTGCCTGGTAGATATCAGAAGAACTTGTGGTGTTCACATTGGTCAGGAACATCACCTCTTGTCTCATGTCACTCCAGCTTCTCATGCTCACTAACTGCAATTCATGACACAAAAAGAAAGGAGGATATAATCTGTCAAGGATTTTTTTTTTAAAAAAAATTGAAAACCCATTCCGTTGTTTTACAGAGTTGGAACTATTAAAAAAGTTTGCCATGGGTGATTTTCCAGCTTAGCTTATTAGCTTTGAGACGTCCAAAGGCTTCCTGTCCAAATTCTGCTGAGTATTTCTTGAGATCAGCTTAAGCTAGCTAACTTTTACAATTTCAGCTGAGAAATATATTTCTTAAAAAACAAATTTCCTCCTTAAACATTTTTATTAGTTTACAATGAATGTTTTGTCTGTCTCACTCTTTTCATTGTTATTGTTGATATACCATAGAATATACACTAATTGAACTTATTTTGTTGATATCTTAATGAAAGAAACAGAAATTTCTTCAAAGCATAGACACCTAATATTGTTCACCCTTCAAGTCAATAAAATGTAATAATCATGATTCTGATCCAATTAGGGCAATCAGTGCTGTGAAACATAAGCTGACCCTAATTTTTTTTAATAAAATGTCATGTAAAATGTATCATCCATGGATAAGCCAACCTTCATTTTTTAATGGTATTTTGGTTAAAAATTTGAGGGTCAGTTTAGCCATAGATGCACATATATTCAAGTATATAGGGGTACTTTAAGAAAGTATTACCATATACCGGTATACTTGTGGATAAGCCCATCCACACATAAGCCAAACCCAACTTTAGAGTTGTATTTTGGCACTCAAAATTGTTGGGCATATGTATGTATACCATATATACGTATACCAGGGGTGCTATTCAGCAGGTTCTGACAGGTTCTGGAGAACCGGTAGGGGAAATTTTGAGTAGTTCGGAGAACCGGCAAATACCACCTCTGACTGGCCCCAGAGTGGGTGGGAATGGTGATTTTGCAACATCCTTCCCCCAGGGGTAGGGAGGGAATGGGGATTTTGCAGTATCTTTTCCCTGGAATGGGGTGGGAATAGAGATTTTGCAGTATCCTTCCCCTGCCATACCCACCAAGCCATGCCCACCATGCCACACACACCCCACCAAGCCACGCCCACAGAACCGGTAGTCAAACAATTTGATTTCCATCAATGGAATATGCGTGTATGCTGTATATGGTAGCTTTAGAGCACACAGATGTACAAAGGTAGCATGTGTCAGTAAGTCATTAAATCAGCTGCAGCAACTTTTCAGAATTGAATCAGAAGTATTACAAAGGCCAAGTCAGTGCCCAAACACTAATTATAGCCAATTGTCTTGCCAATTACACTTTGGGGCAGTAAAAGCATATTTACTTGTATTTATTTTCAAGAACTATATGAAGAACAGTCCAGGGTGCAAATGATCAAGAGCAATTCACAACAGTCACCACACAAACCACACAGTACAGAAAACAGGGAACATCACCACTGAGATTACCAGGAGGCAGCTGGTGCCACCGTTGGCAGGGATGTCTGATAGCGTCCAGCTCTTTGTCTTCCAGCAAAACGGAAGAACTGCCAGGAGGAATGGTCGAAGGGCCCAAAATACAGAAATGCAACATGCTACGTCAGTGTTTCCCCAACCTGGACAACGTTGAGGTGCATGAATTTCAGCTCCTAGAATTCTTAGCAATAACTCACATGGAGGCCACATGGCACCATCTCGGAAATGGTTGCCCTTTTGGGAGAGGCTTTAATTCATTGTGGTCACTCCAAAATGGCGCTTGCTTCTGGGATGGCTCCATGCAGCCTTTATACTATAGAGAGACCGATGGGCAGATCAGCTGCCCCTCCATCCTGAAGGCGAATCTCCAAGATCTTGGAGGAGAGCCAGCCTATCCACCCCTCAAGTCTCCCTATACCTGTGATGGCGAACCTATGGCATGCGTGCCAGAGGTGGCATGCAGCGCTCTCTCTAATGGCACACAAGCCATTGCCCAAGTTCAGCTCTGCTGCACATGTGCACGCACCTCCCGCCGGCCAGCTGGTCTTTGGGTCTCTGCCGCGCATGCACGGGGGGGCGACATGTGCAGAGGGTTGCGTGTGCATCCATGGGGGGTGGGGCACATGTGAGGGCATGCACATACGCGGGAGGCCGAGGTGCATGTGGGGGGCCCATGCACATGGGCAGGGGGTGGGGCACATGCACACACACATTGCATTTTGGGGGTTTGGGTGCATGCTTTGGGCACTCGGTCTGGAAAAGGTTAGCCATCACTACCCTATACAATACAGAGGACTCATGGTGCCATCCTGGAAGTGGGCCCCATTTTGACAGTGGCCACAATCCATTCCCAAAGGTGATCTCTGAGTAGGAAACACATGCGGCAGATTGACTGCTCCCGAAGGAGAGTTACGGAAAAGGTACATGGACCCAGCCATGATGGTATGAGTTGGGAGGAGGGTATGAAACCCAGCAGAGTGGGAAACAGACCCAGGTCTGCGGGGACCCAGTGCGGTGGGAAGCAGAGCACGGGGTGCCTCAATGGGTGGGGGAGGCCCACAGCAGGACATGTGTGAACTGGGGAGGTGCTGCAATGCAGGCCTGAGTTTCCTCTAGGCTAAGGCCTCTCCCCTTCGAGGCACCCTGTGCTCCGCTTAACAACCACAATGGCCTAGAGCAGGGATTGTGGTCGTTCAGCATGGTAATCACATGGATTCCTTGCTTAACAACCACCATGGTTTATGACCCTAATGGGCAGGCTCCATTACAGTCATAAATCGAGGACTACCTGCAAGGACTCTCTCATATTGCACTACAACTCTTCCAATTCCTTACCACTAGCCACTAGCCATGTTTGTTGCCAGTGATTCCTTGCTTTTAATATGGGGGGAAAAAAATCAGGTAGTTCCCAGAGTAAGAATTTAGAACCAGGTTTCTTTCCATCAAAGTTTGACTGTCTGTGTTTTAAACACTTGCCCTCAATCCCGCAGTTGTAAACAGCTTAGCCCGTTCCATAGAAACTGATTGACATTACTCCTTAAGATCATTTCTCGAGAGCTGCAAATGGCTGGGTTTAAAATTTGCATGTATTGAAATAGGCCAGAATATTCCCACCTTCGTAGAAAAAGGCAGCCTAACAAACGCAGTGTCTCCCTTGCTTGTAAGGAAAGAAAAGAGAGTATAAAATTCATTCCTGTGAGTATTTGTCACAGATATACAGGAAGTCGGGCTATGAAAAGCAAGCCTCATGCTGCACTCCCACAGCACAATGCCACCCAAAAGGGGCCTTTGTTTTGAACTTAAATAGAAACAGAAAAAATTCTGTTTGCTCCTTGGAACCGCCGCCAAGGAGAAATCACATCCCTCAGCCAGACCTATTTTACATGACACATCAGCAAAGAGAAGATTGTATGACTAAAAGAAAAGAAGAAGAAAAAGACAAGAAGAAAATAAAATACAGGAAACGACACCAATGGACTGATGATGCAATAGGAAAGAGCTATACAATAATCAGGCAAACTTTTAAGGTTTGCCTCAGGCAAACTTTTAAGGCATTTCTGTTGACCGTGCTTCATCCTGATTTCACCCAGATTCCTCTGTTACTGTAATTTCCATTTTCCATCTAAGAAGGGTTGATGCGGGTTCTAGGATTCAAGAACCGTTTCTCAATAACCGTTAGTTATTGAGAAATAACTAACGTGGAAATTGTGATAATGGGTCAGATGCACACATCCACACGCACACACACGCAGGGCAGCAGTTCTCTACTGAAGCAATGTGCTCAAAAAAAAAAAAAAAAAACAACCTCAAGTGACCTCAGCTCAGCTCAGCTGAGGGGTTATTATAGTTCAGAGTTTTAACATTCCAAAGCTGTGGAGCCGGAAAGAAAAATGGGAATTACAGTACTTGTTTTTTGTGGGTTTTTTTTTTCCTGTTTTGCTTAAAGCAGCAAAGTTTCAAAAGTAGGCAAAAGCATTTTTAACGCTCAAAAATCTAACGGCTTTACACACAGATTAGCCAGGACAGAGAGTTTATTTGCTCCGAGGGGGAAAAAAACAAGTACTGCATAATGACAGTTCATGCATACACACGCACAAAAAAGGGCAGGCTTCAGGCTTACAAACTGAGATAGTGTGGATTATCACACAATTAACTTAACCCATCAATCTACATTTCACATGATTTCCAGTCTCATATTTCATACTTTTTTCCCCCCATACACATAATACATGCCTCATATTCAAGGTTACCCACTAGGATCCAGCCACTTTGGTCAAAGGGAAAATATCCAAAATCCATTTGAGGCAATGCCTATATTAGCTCAACCAGAGTTGTATAACATTTTTATAAACTTAAGATAGCCTAATAAGTATATTGTATGATTGGACTTAATATAATTCTCTCCCCATACTGCCCCCCAAAACTGCCAAAGTAATTCATCCCTATTGATTATTATAATGAATTCCTGATATTCATGTTCCTGGAATGTTCCACTTGGCAAAGACAGGGGGGAAAATAGAAAAAAAATACCCCAAATTGGCTTCCCAGTTTGGCTTGGCCACATTGGCTAGATCACATGGGTAATTTCTGCCTGGTCTTTGGCATACAAACAAAAGGAGTATGATGATCATTATATCCCAATAAGTTGGTATCAAGTGTTACACAGGTTTTTTTTCCCCACAATGATGTGTCCCTAACCCGGTCCTTCAGGACTTCTAACTCTTTGGATTAATATATCACATCCTTATATGCTATTAATGTCTATTACAGCAAAAGGTTTTGTACAGAGGGAATATAATTGTTTGTATATTAAGAATAAACTGTGGTTATTCTGTGGCTATTCTGATACACCCAGTTGTAGATAAAGTTAGGTCTGCTCGCTTCCTTTTCTTTTTCCACTTCTTATGAAGTCAAGATGATAACTCGTTTGACTAAGACTTTTTGTAGTTTCTTTCATTATTGGAACTAACCAAAATTTGAAACAGATACGTTAAATGAACAAAGTGATTGATTCAACTAGCTGTATGAACCCCCGTTTTGGTGCATCAAGAAACTGAGGCTTGTTAAAAGTAAATGAAAAAATTCCAAGATCCTGCTCTTAGCATGCCACAAACTAGTAGGAGAATGGCAAATGGGGGCCCAACAGCCCATCCACATGGTTCTTGATGGGTGAATGCATCTAATAGCTACTAAATATAAGATACCTAAACACAGACATCCTCCTTAGCCAGTGTGGCAAAGTGTGCATTATGAGGTCACAAACAAGTTCAGTTCTTAAGTGTTTGCACTGTACTGTACATAAGGAGTAACATTTCCATCACAATGAAACTTTGTCACTTATCGCCCACTCTTGCTATTCTATGAACACCAATGTGCCCAAGATCACAACTCATTGGCTATTCATGATTGACATCATGACTTGAATAAGTGGCCTGAGACAAAGAGGTGGAAGACACACCCTACCTCTTTAAGAAGGTTCCCCAGGCTCTGCGTCAGCGTCTCCAAAGTTCCCTTAACGTCCTCCAGGGTTGAATTGAAGGTGATCCCTTTCTGGAAGGACAAATGGAAGTTTACAATTAACTGAAAGTTACTGCAACCTAGAAGGAGAAGGGATCAGCTTGACCATTACATTGAAAGAAAAATGAATATGGATGTATTGAATCAACAGGCCCAGTTAGAGAAAAACAAATCCAAATCTGAACCAATACCTATCTCTCAAAAAGGATAGCACTGGAATCCCATTGGGCTGCTTCTTCTTCTTTGTGTGGTTCCGATCCTCCTCATATTTATATCTCTGGACATCTCACATGGCATGACTATTGCTACGGAGAATTATCGCACACTAACCCACAGGATAGCTTAGCTCTGATGGTGGACCTATATTTCCCTTTGCCAAGCATAATAAAGACTCAAATCTATTTGCTTCAAGAAAGGATAACCATCTTCATCCAGTTTCCAGAAACATTTCTAATCGGCTACGATTCTTTATACTCAATAGCTGTGAACCTCTACAGCAGATAGAATAATACGGTAATTATTTAGAGGTGGCAGACTTTATATCCCCTGTAACTTGATTTCTGCATTAAAATGAGCCATGTTTACATATGAGGGGACAAATGAACAATGGCGTACATTATTTTTTGAAGAGCTTTACATCAGAGATCAGCAACTGCCCTTTCCCAAGTCATAACTGGCCTCTGTTTTCCAACAAAAGGTGAAACCACAATTTTATGAGAAACATAAAATTCATAGACGAAAGGGGTGACGGCAGCAAATGGAATATAGAATGACTAAGATTGGGAGCTGAAATACCAATCCAGTGTTTTTCTGAGTCAAATCACTAAGCCATAGATATTGGTTTAGTTTCAGTGGGGAAAACTTCATCAAAAAGTCAGCTGTGGCTTTTTGAGCCAATCTGTGGCTGTTGTGTGCCAATAATACATGATGAATTTTAATTCTCTGAAGACATTTTGAGAAGTAGCACTGCCTGAAAAGCAGAAAATTAATAAGCATACTAACACAGTATAAGTACAAGGAAAATAATGTGGAATTAATATAGTTTCTATATCCTTGCTACTACGTTGACAACGCAAGGTTAGGAAATGACGCACACTATTACTGAGAAGAATTTTCTACCATGCCTTATTCATATTGGGTTTCATGAAATATTACTAATGAAAAGCAGCCTCAAATGCTGACAGAAGACCATACAACTGACTGTAAAATTGTTCTCCCTGGTTTAAACATCTCTCTTCCTCCCTTCCCTTTTATAGCAAAGCTGCTTTGTCCAACCAGGGGCCCACCAGCTGTGCTGGGAACTGTTATCTAACACATCTGAAGGGCGTCACGCTGGGGACAGATGGGTTAGAGACAGAGGCCATGTCTTTTTTAATTCTCTTACTCCAACAAAACAAAAGAAGAGACAAAACTCCAAATTAAATTGAGAGTCTTTATTGTCTGTGGATATTAATCCCTAGAACCGTGATGGCGAACCTATGGCACGCATTCCAGAGGTGGCACGCAGAGCCCTCTCTGTGGGTACGCATGCCGGCGCCAGCTGTTCTTCTGGTTTCCGGCATGCAGCTGGTCTTCGCAGGTGCCTGAGCACTGAAAACCGGCCTGAAACCGGGCCAAAAACCAGCCTGAAAACAGCCCAGAAACAGCCGAACAACGGCCTGAAAATCTCCCGAAAAATGGCCAAAAAACAGGCATGCCAGCCAGCTGGTGCATGCCAGCCAGCTGGTCTTCAGGTTTCCAGTGCTCCGGCATGTGCGAAGACCAGCTGGCCGGCACGCATGCTCATGCTGGAAACCCGAAGACCAGCTGGCCAGTGCGTGGGTTTCCGGCGCTGTGGCTGGCACGTGCACATGCACATGTGTTCCGGTTTGGGCACTCGGTGCCGAAAAGGTTCGCCATCACTGCCTTAGGACATTAATCGAGATAACTGCATATTAAGCCATTTCTCATTTCTGAAGCTATTGCATCATATACTTCTAGAATGCTGACATTGGCTGCTATTAACTGATGAAGCTTTGCTGGTGGAGATACAGCATGAGCTTTGATGAGAGAACAAAAAAGGATGCTCTGAAATGAGCCTCAACTTTACATCGTATTGGAAACAGAACTTCGGTACAGTGATGCTTATGAAGACTTTATGACTGGCTGAACAGTCTTGCTGCAACAGACAGATGGACTTGGAGAATAGTGGTTGGACCCATGTACCTTCTTGAGCTAAGCTTGTTCAACCATGAAGTCTTGAATGAGATATAGCATTCTTCAGGGCTAAACGCCAATAAGAAGGTTCAAAGACTGCCTTTTTTGTGTGCCTTCAAGTCAATGTTGATTTCTACCACCTGCCTGGACAAGTTTCTGAGTTTCTTGATAATATTTTGTAAGTGGTTTGCCATTTCCTTCTTCCTAGGGCTGAGAGAGAGAGGAACTGGCGTGCCCTAACCACTGAACACACGCACCCAAATCAACATCATAGCCAAGGGCAATATAAAGTCCAACCAGGCTCTCTGGGTGCCATGGACTAAACTATCTGAGCTACAAAGAGAAAAGGGCAACCAAACAGATATGGAAGCTTAGAAAAGGATAGGCGAAAGCGCAGGTGACCCATCACTGCTCAGCCTGGAGCCTGAGAAAACTGCATGATAAAGTGAAGCTTGCAGAAAAAGGCTTGGAACTTGGGGAAAATGTGGTTCAGGCAAGGAAGAACCAGAGGAAAAAGCTGGAGGGAGAAGCCTGAGAGGAGAAAGAAAAACAAATCAGCGAGTAAGTAAACAAAAAAAGTTTCACCTGGCCAGGTTAGATTGCAGAGCAACAGAATTACAAAACAAAGGGCATCAAGCAACCAAATCTTTGAGACAAGAAGTAATGAAGAAATGCATTATATGTAGCATTCCCCCATAATCTTGCAGTGTTTAAAAAAAAGAGATTGTACCCCCAGCAATGTTGAAAGCATCATACTTACCATAAATGGCTTTATGAAGTCCATATTATCCTGAAACGCTCTTTCTAGAGAAGCAAGTTGTTCCTTCGGCATAGAGCAAATTAAGGCCCGACTGCCATTGTTGATAGCAACCAGTTCTGGCAGCTTGGTGGAATTGCACAAGTCTTCCACACTTATCCGGTAACCAGATGTAATGATCTAGAAATATTGTCCATATGTTACGCCATGGGGAAATCAGCTTTTCTGCTTCTTCATCACAGTTCATAATACTAAAATTATATCATACCTGCCTTACCCAACTCTCGGACCCTCCAGAGATTGTTATTTAATTTCCTATAATTGGGTGGGTTGGATGTGATAATGGAACATACAGTTTAAGGATGGATATTTCTTACCTGTTGAAGATTGACCTCAGCATTCAGGATTTCATCTATATCAGGCTGCGATAGGGAAGCATTGTGGTGGAGAAATTCAGAGAATGTCTCATTGACAACCAAAAAATCCTGAACTTTGACACCTGGGGAATTATGAAGTAAAATCCATTACAAAATAAAACAACGAATTTTTAAAATGATGTCAACACTCATTTTAAAAAGATGTCTATATTAATATAGGTTAACAGCGATACACTCATCTTGAACAATCCCAGAGTCTATTATTCTGTGGCAAGGAAGGAAAGGAAAAAAATAGGGAAGAAAATCAATATTATGCTCAATAGTTTGGGTGATGAAACCCAAAATGCTTCTGTAATGTACACGGAAAGGAAAGAGACATTTTTGTTTCCATCTATCCATGTCGGGTACCGCTATGAGTTCTCATGTAGTACAGCCAGTTTAACATGACGAGATATCAAATACACTGTACAGGTAGTCCTCGATTTATGACCATTTGTTCAGCAATTGAAGTTATGAGAGTACTGAATGAATGGTGGTTATGCCTTGTCCTTGGAATGCCCCTGATGCCCCTGTAGTCACATGATCATGATCTGGGCATTTGGCAATCTGCTCCCATCTATGACCAGTTGAGAAATACCCCACAATCACATGTTCCAGCTGGCTTTTCCAGAAAGTCAATGGGGAAGCTGGCAAGTCATTGGTTGAGTTTCTTCCGCCCACACACTTGTCCGGCCACTATATGATCATGCTACACTAACTATTCACACTCCCATGCACTCTCCTCAATCCACACTGCACCCCGACCTGAGCAGCACCTTTCGTGCACCCTTCCTGACATGGGCATGTCTCTCCTGCACCCTCACCTGAACCCCTGTACACCCTCTCATTCCCTGCCCCACCTGGCAGTAGAGAGTTACCTACCTGCTAGCTTGGTACGATGTCCTGCCACTATCCTCACTAACTTTGGTTGTGGGAAGCTGGCAGAAAGTTGCCTCAGCTAACAGCTTTGGCATTAAGTTAATAATGGCAACTCGGACTGCGGGGATTGCCTTCGCTAAGTGATGAGGTCGTGCTAACCGCATCGGTTGGTGATGGAAATTCCGTTTCCATTTGCAGTTGTAAGTTAAGGAATACCTATAATGCTAAAGGGCAGGGAGAAGAAAAATAGGTATAGTCTTGACTTGCATTAAGGATTGGCTTGGGCCACTTAACTTTTGGGATGGATTCAGAAAGCTCTGTGAAACAAGTTTTCTCCCCCTCTCTTAAATCAAGGTTAATTAGGCTTGAATTAGGCCTCTGGCCTGAATCACTCCTAACTGTATCTCTGGCTAATGAAGACAGTCTAATCTCTACCTCGGTACTGTGGCTTTATTTAAGCTGCCAGTTCAGCTGGAGGGCCCTTATCTTTTGTAATGGCCCGCCTGACAACTGTTTTTAGAAAGTTAATTAAGGCATAATAGGTATAAAATTCAAAAGAATCAGAGTGTAATTTATGGGTTTTATAAACCTCTTTCCCAATTTTTTAGCCACTTAGGCTAGTTGGTAACAACATACAAGCTACCTTTGGGGAAATGTCATCTGCCAGAAAAACAATTAAAACACTTTCAGAATTACAGATAATTAAGAAAGTACATATGTTCTCCTTTCCTTCAATGTATGAGAAGATGATCTGTGTTAACAAAAGTGTTAACCCTGCCCTTGAAAAACCACCCGGCCCTCTTTGAATGGCTTTATTTGTGTTCTGTTTTGCCATGCTGTTTTCGCTATGGAAAAATCCATAATTATGCTGAGTAGGAATTGTAAGAATTGCAATCCCAGCATTTTTTGAAGAGCACCACACTGGAGAAGGTACCTTAGCAGTGTGCATTGGATCACAGAGGTGGAAAAAGCGTGTCGGATCTTCAAGAAGACTAGCTGGCTTTTTTTAAAAAAATAATCTGCTCAAAAGGTTTATAAATATATAAATGCTCAAGACTGCCTGGAATGAGAATCCCAGGACCTGCAGAGGAAGATTGGGACAAGAAGTGTCTCTGGAGGAGGAATGGAAAGAAGGCAGAAGTTCCACAGGCTAAGAAAAATGGACTCTCTTCTCTCCTTTTATGCTATTCCAAACTATTCCTGTCTTAGTCAGACCCAATTTGGCAAACACCAATCCAGGTAGAAGATTATGAGGCAAAGAAAAAAACCCCCAGCACTTTCTAGTCTTCAGCTCAAGAATGAACTTTCCGGGGTTACTGTCGGTCAATGCTCTCTTGCCCAGTTAGTTCCTTGTCGCTTTTTTTTTTTTCCTTATAAGCAAAATAATCACCGTCAGCAGATGGTTTGAGACAAAGGCTTGGCTAAAGCTAGTGAGAGGTTACTTGAGGATGAAAACCCTTTTAGAGCTATTTGTCATAGTCTCGAGTCAATTTGATTAGAGGAAAAAAAGAAGAGGAGGGGAAAAGACGACGTTTGGGAAGAAAGTTAAAAAGAAATATTGTGGTGTCACAGCAAAGAATAGAGAGGCAACTTGTACCCTCCAAATGTTTGGAGCTTCAATTCCTATTATGCCCACAGGCTCAGTAGCCGGGGATTGTCTCTTTCCCACAACTTTGGTGGGAGGGATAATCCAATTATGGATCTCTAAAATAAGTTTGATTTAGATAGCACATGTCACCAGAAAAATTGGCAAAAATGTTTAAAGATAAACCAGCTAAATGTTGGAAATGCCACCAGATACCAGGATTGTACTATCATATGTGGTGGACAGAAATGAGAAATTATTGGGCAAAAATTTGAACATAGAGAAAATGACACAGCAACAGTGATAGTTTGCCCCTGGTTTGCACCAGTTCTATAGAACCGGTAGTAAAACCGGAGGAAGGCTCCGCCCACTGACTCCGATGTTATCAAAATGCGCGAGCGAAGCGAGCGCGCGTGCCTGGCCCCGTTGCGAACCGGTAGTAAAGGTAAGTAGAACCCACCCCTGCACAGCAACATATTGATTTTTTTTAAAATTTGATTTATATGCTGCCCTTCTCCAGAGACTCAGGGCGGCTTACAATGCGTTAAGCAATAGCCTTCATCCTTTTGTATATTTATACAAAGTCAGCTTATTGCCCCCACAAACTGGGTCCTCAATTTACCTACCTTAGAAAGGATGGAAGGCTGAGTCAACCTTGAGCCTTGGAGAGATTCGAACTTACGGTAATTGCAGACAGCTGGTGTTAATCATAATGCTATTAGTCTGCTGAGCCACCAGGCCCCTTTAAAGTCGAAGCTGTTCCTGTTGGGTATCTTACCGGAGAAATTTAGTAAAGAAAATGTATATTTGATCATACATGTAATAACTGCAGTGAGAATTGTATTTGCAGAAAATTGGAAAGCGGAAAAAATTCCTACAAAGGGTGAGGTAATTAAGAAAATATTAGAATGTGCAGAAATGAATCAATTGACAATGGCAATTAAAGGAAAGGAAGAATCGGACTATTACAATATATGGGGGCAATTTTACCAATGGATAGAGATTGAATATAGACAATAAGTAGAAAAAAATGTAAGAAATTTGGAAAGAACATGTTGTAATAAATTAAATTAAAATGTAAAAGCAAAGATGCATATGTATCAAGATAATGGTGGTAAATGTTGAATATGATGACACAAAATTTTGTACTCAGATGACACACTGATTGAATAACGAAGTACCGTTTGTTTAAAAATAAAAATAAAAAACTTTTTTGAAAAAATAAATAAAATAAGTTTGATTTTAGTCCTGAAGCATCCTTGCGCCACTAGAAACAAGATGTAATGGGTTAGTTCCCTTGCCGATACTATTCAGGAGACTGTTATGTAAACACCCCACTGCAAGCTTCTCTGCTATCAGTGGAAAAAACAACTTCCTCTCCGGATCACAAGAAAGCTGATAGAAGGGGAAAAAAAACTTTTAAAAAATTTCCATTCCAATGACATCCATGCGGGAAGGGACAAGGGAGAGGAAAATTACACACATGTAATGCAAGCTCCATTTTTTTGTTATCATGCATGTATTGTTCTTGTATACAACAAAAAACATGGAGCTTATTATTTTGATGAAGATGGTGGATCCTCTACTCCACCATAATATATTAGGGATAAATCTGCAAAAATCTTGCATGGCTGGAGGCACCTGCCAAACAGTTTGATACAAATTGTGTTCCCCAAAACAATTGAGATCAACATGTGCTCCATTCTAGCATCCTATTTCTTATAAACAGATTCCTGATTCCGATATACATATTTAGCAAAGCTTCCAAAATGAAAGGAAAACACTGACAAGCCATACCTAAACATTCATTAAAATAAAAACATTCAAAGTTGTCTTAGCTAATAGCATTTATCTCAGGGCAGGGGTGAAATCCAGCAGGTTCTGACAGGTTCTGGAGAACCAGTAGTGGAAATTTTGAGTAGTTCGGAGAACCAGTAGTGGAAATTTTGAGTAGTTCGGCGAACCAGCAAATACCACCTCTGGCTGGTCCCAGAGTGGGGTGGGAATGGAGATTTTGCAGTATCCTTCCCCTGGAGTGGGGAGGGAATGGGGATTTTGTAGTATCCTTTCCCTGCCACGCCCACTAAGCCACGCCCACCAAACCATGCCCACCAAGCCACACGACGCCCACCAAGCCACGCCCACAGAACCGGTAGTAAAAAAATTTGAATTTCACCACTGTCCCAGGGAGATAATCATTTTAAAAATGAGGCACCAACCGTAGAAAACACAGATTCTGGATACTGTCTGCCTTATCTCAGATGTTGAGCACACTTAGAAGATTAGCTTTAAAGAAGATCTCAAGCTAAATTAGGTTGATATAGACACAAACATTCTCCCAGAAACTTTGTGTTATAAATCTGGCAGGATTTGAAAGGTAAGCATCCCATTGTGAATTTTGGTTGGAAATAGCCCCATGTAATCAATCCGACCTATTACCAAAATATAGACAATGGTAGACAGTCATTCTCTACCTAGGAGAAAATGGAGAACATCTAGCTAGGATTATTACAGATTTTTCTTGCTATGTCTTAGAAGAGAAACTCTGAATTGTCTTAGCCCTAAGGAAAGCTTGTCATTTTCAGACTTGTGACTTGATAAATCTTCTTCCCATATATA